CATATAATGGCTGCTTTTGCCCGATGCAGCTCGCAGACCTGTGTTTGTTGCGTATCCTTTACAGGACGTTGCAGAACCAACTCCGGCATTTTCTGGCTGTTGTGGTTTTTTCCTAATCAAATTTTACGTTCAGTAGTTTGCTACTGCACTGAACGGTCGGCTCAAGGTTCCTTTGCCAAAACCAAAGCAAGACAAATCGTCCGTAGCTGGGATCAAACTCGGCATTACGAAGCGCGTTCGTAACGTCTAAACCACCAATGCCTGGTTGAGTGAGTTAAGTTAGAGCAGAGAGGATATACTTCATTGCATCAGGTTTATCCCATACGGTTCGATCTCTCTCCGCAGATCACTTGCCTCATACCGAGACCATCGCACAAAGTACGAACTCTGTGGCTCCGGTGACGATCCACAGAGATCTCCGTAAAAATTGTCCGTGTTGGAGTAAAGATGCTGATGAAAAGGAATGGCTGTAGGTGAGCCAGTGTTCATTTAAAAAAAAAAAAATATATATATATATATATATATATATATATATATATATATATATATATATATATATATATATATTTCATGAACGCAAGCTGTACTTAGCTCAACAAACGAGGTAAGTGAAAAATGTGTACAGAAACAATCAAACGTTTCTATCGAAGTCTTTATCAACGAACACAACAAGAAGAATGATCCTAGGCATCAGTCCCACCTAGTAGAGTCATGTTAAAAACAACAAAGTTTGACAATGTGAATCCAGCAAGGAATCTTCCAGATATTCCGCGCAACCTACTGAGTTATGTGAAAATCTGGAATTACCTAGGAGCCGAGTAACTGAAACAAACCTGTCAACTTGCGGATGTGGTGAACTAATGAGGTATATTTTACTGATATTATACTTTCTTAAATAACTGATATGGGAGAACACAGTATCACGTGAAATCATACACAATCATGTGAAATCATACACAATCACGTGAAATACACAATCATGTGAAATCATACACAATCACGTGAAATCATACACAATCACGTGAAATCATACACAATTATGTGAAATCATACACAATCACGTGAAATCATACACAATCACGTGAAATCATACACAATTATGTGAAATCATACACAATCACGTGAAATCATACACAATCCCGTGAAATCATACACAATCACGTGAAATCATACACAATCCCGTGAAATCATACACAATCATGTGTTTGGAAAAAATAATACCAGAAGGCATGGTACAAGGAGGGAGGTGCAGGGGCCGACCAATACGAAGATGGGCACAGGATATAAGTGACTCCTTGAGTATGAAAGTACATGAGGTGGGAGAGCTGACAAGAGACTTGAGTTTCTTTCAGGCAAACCCTGATGAGAGCGATATTCTGCTAAGGACCTGCTACATGATGATGATGTTGTCTTATTCTTATTTCAAACGTAAGTGGATCAAGAACTCTCGAGGCTGGCTACGCTCTTCAACATGCCTGGACACTTTCCTCCGGCAGCAAATGACTTCGACTACATTATCAGATGCCTGGCTCCTTTTGAAGACTGCTATTTCGATGTCACCATCACTTGATTCTTCAACTTTACTAGATGCTTCATTTACTATTCTGTACTGGTCTGTACTTCGGTCACTATTACTTACTTACTTTACTTAGTCGTTCCTCTTCTACCTTGGGGTGTAGAATTTTACCAGAGAGATCGCCAGACTTCTCTGTCACCATTCGTTTGTGTGTGTGGCTTTGTTCTATTCCACTCCTCTGTCAGTCAGGGACTGTCAGGTGTCGTTTTCCCAGCGAACTCTGGGTCCCCCTGATGGTATATTTCCCTGGTTCTTAGCCTCCCATGCCTGAAATGGTAGTCGATACTCTCCCATTCTGCATACAAATCCAAACCATCGCAACTGAGACTGATCCACTGGAGTTTGCAGTGCCTTTGTTTCAAGATCCTGACGTATTTTGTGGTTGTGAACTGTGTTCCTCTTGTCACTTGGACCATCTTTCTCAGATATCTTATTTCTGAGGCTGAAGCTGGCTTCTGTGAGCTGTTGTCTTTACAAATGACTAATTTCTGTCGGTCAGGACTGGCACAAAGGTAGAGCAGTATACAGCCATCTTCGTCCTCTTACGAATTTTTCTTTGGTCGAGAAATCCTCACTTTGGTCAGTATGCCTTGCAGGTGCCGTCCAACACGAAGATGGGCACAGAATATAAGTGACTCTTTGAGTATCAAAGTATATGAGGCGGGAGAGCTGACGAGAGACCGAGTTTCTTTCAGGCAGACCGTGATGAGAGCGACGTTCTGCAAAGGACCTGCTATATGATGATGATCGAATTGCTAAACAGATTATTTAGCAACTTCTCTCCGAGTACTCATGTTTACGGTTTTTGACATTGCTGACTGTGATCTTGTCTTGTCTTGTCTTGTCCACAATTGCCTCACAGCGTAGTGGGGAGTCGCAGTTTTCTATCCTGGGCCAGGTGTGTTGCACGTGTTGTTGTTAGTCCGTGTTGCCTCAGGATCTCTTATATATTGTCTATCCATCGTACTCTCGGCCTGCCTCTTGCGTGATCTTGTCAACCCCCACAATGTTCTGCTGTCTTTCTGATGCTGTTACTTTCCAGATTTTATGAAACATCCACCCGATTTTTTTAAAGGCCGTAATATCTGGATTAACATGTGGTAACGATAAAATAAATACTAGTGAAAATCTGTAGTCAGCACTCCCAGACATTTAAACTGATGACAGGCAACTCTCCGCGCGGACTCTCTTAGTCTGATCTTCGCAGTTCATTGGATTCTTTGAGATCTAAAGAACTAGGCACGACCACCACTGCGCTTTTTAAGTAAGTAGACAGACACACTGCTGGTTTAGACTGGCTGGTCAAGTTATAGAGGGTAAATTACTACAGCTTGTAATGGTGGTCAACATACAACTGACAGAGTTGGTCACTTTGAGAGGCAGTCTTCCACTAAGAATATGTGGTAACGGTCTGATCAATGAAAATGATTAAACTTAGTAAGGTGGTAGACATGTGGTCAACTTTGGAAGTTCTAATATATATATATATATAAAATACCCTTTTACACCATTACTTTATACCGGTACTGCGACTACAATACAGCATTTTTTCTTAGTGCTTTAATTGATGCAGATGACTCCTGTGCTGTCCTGTTAGCGACTGTGAGCTCTTGCATGGTTTTATGTCGTCTGCTCCAGTTGCTTTATCTAGACTTCGAATCAGTGTAAGGATGAACTGATTATTTTTATATTTTAGGTCTTCAGCATACATTGTTTCTCGTATCGGTAATTGTAACTATCCAGTCCTCTATAGAATATCCACTTCATAGAGTTGCGTTAAACAAAAGCTATCAAATACAGAGGTACTGAGGAAATTGGGAATGAAAAGAGAGTTGCTAGGGGAAATAAAAAAGAGACAAGTAAAATATTTTGGCCACATTAAAAGACATAACAGTATTGTAAAGATCATCCTAGAGGGAAAGGTTCAAGGTAGTCGAGCAAAAGGCAGACAGCCTTACAAGTGGGAGGATAACATCAAGAGATGGACGAACAACAGAATGAGTGAGTGTACATCAAGGGCAAGAGACAGAGCTTGTTGGAGATCCATTGCAGCCAACCTTCATTGTGGAGACGGCACCTGATTGATTGATTGAGAGTTGCGTTGCCTGCAAGGACAAACGCCCTCTCGTTGCCTTTCACACAGACTGAAATGGCTATAAATAAAAACCTTAAAAAAAGTAAATATTTCTCATCCTTGAGAGGTCGGAGATAAACAGTTTCTTCTTCTTCTTCTTCTTCGATCCTTCTGTCAGAAAACTTATATCAGGAGGCTGGTAGCCTTTATGAAAGCTATCGTGCAATCCATATCCTCTTGTGTACCATACAGTTCTGTCTTCATTGTGGTTGGAACAGGCCAGATTGCGTCTCTGTTGTCAGCATACAGTTGACAGTGTTGGAGCACATGCTCAGCATTTTCGGGTGCATAAACAGTTTAATTTTAAAGACTTAATTGCTGAAAAGGCATGAGATGCAAGGATCATAAATTTACAAATGTGGCAATCGTTGATGCAGCTGTGAAAATAAACACCGAAAGTTTTATTCAACGAAGGAAAGGGAAGGTACTCGCATCGGTTCCAGGCAGACGACAACGTCAAACAACTAGCGAAGACAAAATAGATGGTCGGATTTTTTCTGTAAATAATTTCTGAGTGTGTGACTGTATATTTCACAATTATGGTAAGTGTTTATAGAATTTTATTGTAAAAGATGTCGATGGAACAGAAAGTGCATGACATATCTTGCTTGCAATCTGAGTTTCAGCTTTACACTAGAACAGTACAGCAATCTGGTCACAGAGTAATTCAGTCACCCCATAGTTGCTTCGCTCCTGTGCCAACGAAAAATGCACAGATGTAAATCTCTGTCCCTTGTTGAAAAATTGATAGATACAGACTGCAGTCTCAGCATGTCCACTAGCAAAAACACGCATTAAAAGCATAAGGCAACCATCAGAAGTGCTAACATAAACAGTCTAACACATTGGAAAAGCAGCTCTTCATCACGGAGAAGCAGCTCTTCATCACGGAAAAGCAGCTCTTCATCACGGAGAAGCAGCAGTTGCACACACGATCAATTCTAATGACATAAGGCAAGTCACTACCAGTTCTGTGGCTGTAAGCCACGCACCATTTTCTGAATCTACAGTTTACGACACTACCTTGGTCATAGTTGACAAGCATTCCAACATGAAATCTACATCTCACAGTGTCGTGCCATGCACCCAACTAACAACTCAGTAGCTGGACGACAAAACTATAACTTTTATATCTACAAGTACAAAAAGAGGAAAATACACTCTAATGAGCCTTTTAATATTGTTTTTGAGAGGCTGTTAGATCTTATTACATGTCTGTAACATTGCATTTTCTGTCTTTTTGTATGCACACATTGATACATGCATACACAGTTGAAGATTCTGTTGCAGGATTATTCCAAGTTTATGGATGACAACTTTGACGCCAAGGACTGGGTGAATGCTGCCTTCCACAACCAGAAGGATTCTGACATGTCCAAGGATGTAAGTGTTGTCTAGACCTAGGAACTAATCTGTGGCCTGGCAGTAAATGTAGAGTGGGGTTAACAGGCATATGTAATAACTATGGGGGTGTTAACACTATACATTTTAACTGTGTTAGTGTTACTGTATATATATGTGTGTGTGTTTTACTGATGTTATATTTCATTATTGAAGTAACAATGATGATGTTAAAAAAAAGCATCTCTGGTAGTATTACAGTATGTACAGTAACCATGATAAGTGTAGACAGTAACCATGATAAGTGTAGACAGTAACCATGATAAGTGTAGACAGTAACCATGATAAGTGTAGACAGTAACCATGATAAGTGTAGACAGTAACCATGATAAGTGTAGACAGTAACCATGATAAGTGTAGACAGTAACCATGATAAGTGTTGACAGTAACTGGGGTAGTGTTACAGTATATACAATAACTGGTAGTGTTTCAGTATAAACAGTAACTGTGGTGATGTCACTGTATATACAGTAACTGGGGTAGTGTCACAGTATAGACCGTAACTTATGATAATGTTAAGAATATACAGTAACTGTAATAGTATTACAATATAGGCACTAACTAATACAGCGTTGCAAAAGAGGCAGTCAAGGAAGTATTTAACCATAGACAGTAAGTATGAGATGCTGTTACAGTCATAACTGTCAATACCTGAAACATTTTTTCATATGTAATTTCAGTGATGATAAGAACTCTTTGGCGATTTATTTTCTGTGCTCCATTTAAAATTACTGTTATTTTGTCTTCTTTATACACTTTTTTGTTATGATTGTTATGCGATGTTTGATTACTGTGCATCTCATTTTCAGCAATATGCTACAACCATGGTGATGAAATTGCAAGTGTTTATTCAGGTAATTTGGGTTTTCTTAATTTGATTTTTGTGTTAACATTTGGTTGTTGTTGTATTGATTTCAGGCCTGGGGGGGGGGGGGGGGGGGGTAGTTTAGTGCAATAAATGACGACTAATTAGAAGCATTTTCTTTAAAACCGGAGTGCGTCTCTCTGGTAAGAAATCAACAGTCTGCGTAAAAATAAGCCAGATCTTTAAAGCAAATGTGTACACAGCAAAACTCAAATTCTGGAACAAGATTTAAGTCCAAAAGTGGATGAACAACCAGAACTTTCCACCAGAATTTACAGCTGGTGAACACTAAAAAAGAGGAAGAAACAGAAGAAAAAGTGTGATTTTTGTCCGTATGTAATGTATCTAAGTATCATCTCATCATCTTCTTTCTTTGAAAGTCAGCACAGCGTTGTGAGCGCTTCACAGATCCAGGGTACCTGATTCAAATCCGACTGCGTGTGATTTGGTTTCAGACTGCTTTGTGTTAATTTCAACAAAGGTATTTCCCGGTGACGGTTCCGGGGCCCCATTGTGGGAAAAGCAAGAATAGACCCACTGCCTCCCCGACAAGCATGTCCTAGGAGTCTGGGGGCATCCTTCAAAGTCAGATGTGCATCTGTCTAAGAGGCAAAGAACCACAAGTCTGCATACAGATAAGCTAGATCTGTAAAATGGATGTGCACGCAACACTCAGGTTCTGGAGAGTGACTAAAGTTCGGAGGTGGACATCCAGAACTTACTACCGGAGTTTACAGCCGGTGAATGATGAACAACAAAGAAGACGAACAACAAAGGTATTGAGAGGCGATCATTCAGGAAGCCAAACTACTGAATGTAAAATTTCCTGGTCAAACCCAACATAAATTTTTTTTTGAAATGCTGGGAGTTGGTTCTGCAGTGTCCTATAGAGCAGGCCATATGGGGCATATTAGTGTTATTTTTAAGGCCACACCTGACACTTAACTGACGCATCTCTATGTATCCTTATGTACCCTTTGTGTGTGCCGCAGCTGTGCTGACAGCGGACCACATGTTTGACGTGCCTGCTTTAGAAATTACACACCTGACAACGTGATAGTCCATGCTGTCCAGTTTTCTGCTTGTCGTAACATGCCCCCAAAACAGTGTAGAGTATCATCTTCTGTATGAGTATCAGTTCATTTTATTTGTTCCAGGACATCTTCATGATGTTTTTTATTTATCTGTCTCTGTTTTCTCATTCTGTTTTGTGTACTGCCAGTCATTTCTGTAACAGTTATATCCATTGACTTTCTGTTACAGTTATATCCATTGACTGCCTCTTACAATTATAGCCATTGACTTTCTATTACAGTTATGTCTATTGACTTATCTTTTACAGTTATGTCCAATGATTTTTTGTTAGTTATATTCATTGGCTTTCTTTTACAATCTATCGACTGACTTTCTTAAACAGTTGTACCTGTTATTTCACGTAAATCATGCAGCAAGAGGATTATCTGCTTAACTCATGCCGTGTTTTTGTTGTGTTTGAAAATGTGTATCAGAATGACCACACTGAGTACGTATGTTGACATGTGTTCACTTTATTGGCAGGAAGTCAATAATGTTCTGGAGGAGGCAGGCCAGCAGGCACTTCAGAATCTGCCGAGGTGAGATGCTGTTTTCCTAATTTTGCTCACCATGTTACCTCTTCTGTCTGCTACTGTCACCTAGGCTTGTTTTCTCCAAGTCTGATTACATATGACTCCCTATTTGAGTTGGGGCCACATTTCAAGGGCAAGAGCAGAATAGACCCCTAAAGTGCATGTCAGAGTGCATCTGCCTGAAAGGTGAGGAAAGAACAGTCTGCACACAAATAAGCCAAATCTGTATTCTAAGCCCAGGGGGGCTTCCACAAAACAACATACCTTCATCTAAACAACATACCTTCATCTAAACAGCATACCTTCATATAAACAGCATACCTTTATCTCAACAGCATACGTTTATCTAAACAACATACCTTCATTTAATCAGCAATCCTTCATCTAAGCAGCATACCTTCATCTAAACAACATACCATCTAAACAACATACCATCTAAACAGCATACCTTCATCTAAACAACATACCATCTAAACAACTTACCTTCATCTAAACAACATACCATCTAAACAACATACCATCTAAACAGCATACCTTCATCTAAACAACATACCATCTAAACAACATACCTTCATCTAAACAACATACCATCTAAACAACATACCATCTAAACAGCATACCTTCATCAAAACAGCATACCTTCATCAAAACAGCATACCTTCATCTAAATAGCATACCTTTATCTAAATAACATATCTTTGTTAATTATCACATTATTTTTAATTTTATTGTATTATTTTTATGCTTATTTTATTTTATTGTCTTTTTTTCCTTATCTCTTATCACTACCAGTTATAGATCAATAACAATTGTATCTCTACTACTCTTTTATTCCTACTATTATTATACATTATCACTATTACTTTCATGACTATTTTTCAAGCCTTCCTTTTTTAAATTTTATTCATTCCACATCACCTTTTTAGTGTTTCTCATGTGACCCTCTGATGGTCATTGGTGGTTGCAGCATTTGTCTTTGTTATTGTTGTGTAGTTTAGTTAATGTCTAGAAAGGCTCTGGCCTCTGTGCACGTTTTTCTGCTTCCCCATTTCGTTACTCTTTTGAGTCACAGTTCACTGGATTAATTTCCTTGAAGCAAATAACATGGGAAAACTAGAACAGTCGGCCTGCCTATGCACCATCTTGGACAAGAAGTCCAGCTGTACATGTATATCTATATTGATGCATGCAAGACTATCACTGTACATCATCATCATCAGGTGCCTTGCCGACTGGCGTGGGTGATCGTGCCTCTCCATAATCTTCAATCTCCTGCAGCATGTATCAGTTCGTGTGCCGACACACCTCCATGCCATGCAACAAGACTGTCAAGCATCTTCTCTCGTTGTCTTCCTCTATCTCTCCTTCCACATACCTTTCTAGTGGTCACAACATGTTCTATTTTCCCTCTTCTCATAGCATGGCCGAAAAATGATGTCTCCTTCTGATGTCTGTGATAAGTTGTCTTCCGGCTCCTGTCTCTTTCAAAACCTCTTGGTTGCTCTTTTTGGCTGTCAAAGGTATTCTAAGCATTCTTCTGTAAAACCACATAGCACTGTACACAGGGCTGTAATCACCTATGTATTCAGCATCGTCAGTCAGCCTTTCCCTTACAGAAAATCACTCTCATCACAGCATGCCTGAAAGTCTCTCTTTCTCTAGCCAATTCTCCAGCTCTTTGTACCTTGAAAGCCAGTGCATCTTCAGTGTCTTGTATCCACCTTCAGCGAGGTCTGCCTCATGCACAACTGTTAGCATAATTATTAATTTTGACTATCACAATGCAGACATTGTCTTCCTTGTAGGGTGGTGAGAGAGCTGGATGCTGTCAAACATGAAGCAATACTGCTCCAGGACCAGATGAGGGTTGTCAAACAGGACATCCAGAAGGTAAGGGTGATGGTTCTGTTCTCGTGGTGACAAAATAAGTTAGTATATGACACTGCACCAGGTAGCTGTCTGTAAGCCGCATGCCAGACACAAGGGGGCCTATAAATTAGTCTCCATTTTAGTAGTTCTGACCATGAGATGAAATTGACATCACTATCACTGCCATACAATCATTATCTGGGGAACAAACCACCTGTCTCTCCTTGGAAGATATCTCATTTATAGTTTAGGCTTTCTTAGCACAGCAGGCGTCTGTATCCAGCATAGTTACATCTAATTTCTTCTTCAGCATTCCGAGCCCTTGAGGTTCAATTGCTGCAGATATCACCCGCCTCCATCATCTCTCTGGTTGGCCTTCTCTTTCCGGTTGGCCTTCTCTTCCCGGTTGGTGACAAGTGTTTGCAGGTCAGTCTGGATATTATCTCTCCATCGTCTTCTTGGTCTGCATCGTGGTCTATGACCATTCATTTCACTTGTTTATACAGTTTTTACTTCTCTGTCATCTGACATTCTTTCAATATGCCCCAACCATTTCAGTCTAAAAGCTCTGATGATGCCAGTGATCAATGGGGATACAAACAGATTATGAATTTCGTTATTGCTTCTCACTCTCCATTCCCCTCTGTTTGCATCTTTGATGGGTCAAAACATTCGTCGTAAGACTCTGTTTTCGAAAACCTATGAACAGGCTTATCTCTTTTAGTTGTGCTCCAAGTTTCGGAGCCAAATAAAACGACTGGTCTCATCAGCGTTTTATATATTTTGATCTTAGTGTTGCACGACAGACACTTTGACTTTAGCAGATGTTAAAATTTAAAAAAAAATTAATTATGAATCTACTTTGAGAGTTTTCATTGCTTTTTCCTTCCTTTCCCCAATCCTTTGTTTATGTCTTTTTTCACAGCAGCTCTTCTTATTCCTTAAAAAAAATTCTTTGGTCCATTTATTTTGTTATATGACTTTCTCATTCTTTGTTGCAGTTTAGGATTTCTGTTGCTTTATTTTAAATTATTTTGTACATGCCAGACACTTGCAGATAACCATACCATCGTATAGTTAATTTGTCTTATGCTTGATTACTCCACTTTATATTAAAGTATTCCTTTAAAGTCAGACTGCATTCCCCTGAGAAATGAGGAATCAGCATATGTATACAAACAAGCCAGATCTGTCAAATGGATGTGCATACAAAACTCAAGCTCTGCAACAAGACTAAAGTCCAGAAGTGGACACGAAACCAAGAATTTCTGACAACCAGTGAACGCTAAGAAGAAGAATGTAAAGTATGGGAGGGAGAAAGAGCCAGTAGACCACTTTATAAATGATCCTATTTCATGAGTCAGATGCGGTTAGCCTATGTGGTTACCGGTCACACTTGAGGAGTGTTTTGGGTTAACAGTGATCTAACTTTTACAGGTGGAACAGGATACATCCCAGTCAATGCAGTCCTTGCTCAAACTTGATCGGATCAAGTCTCGCATGAAGACCACAGCCGATGCTCTTAAGGTTTGTCTGTTGACCACCAGACGAATGTTTCTGTCCATTAATTAACTTTGTTCCCTCATTCATTTACCACTTGGTGGAAAATTGATGTATGGCAAGCTAGATGTTGTCAAGGTTCACTCATTCATTTACCACTTGGTGGGAAATTGATGTATGACAAGCTATATGTTGTCAAGGTTCACTCATTCATTTACTACTTGGTGGAAATTTAATGTATGACAAACTAGATTTTGTCAAGGCTCTTAAGAAGCACATGATAAATGCAGAGGCACAAATAGGTCAACACAGTCTAAAGAGAATGGTGAGTGACGAGGGGATCTGGCCGCCACTCAACACTCACAAGAATGGCAAGACCGACAAACAATCAAATCACTACTGGCACTGTCAGAATTGGAGCTCTGTGTTGACTGCTGAAGATGGGAATTGAGTGCTTATGAGAGTGTCCATGTGGTTTCTTAACTCAACTCTCATTAAGCTGACATTTTTTTAAATTTATTCTTCTTTGCTCAGCATGTTCATTGGATGGACCTATCTGTCAGTTCATTAAACAAATCCCCTTTGTAAGTCGTGGTGTGTGTGCGCGCACACACAAGCACCCGCACTCATGGGCATACCATCACGCAAGCACATTAATGAATGGTATTTCCTTCAAAGTCAGAGTGCATTTCTCTGAGAGTTGAGCAACCAACAGTCTGCATACAAATAAGCCAGATCTGTTAAATGAATATGCATGTAAAACTCAAGTTCTGGATCAAGACCAAATTCTTGAAGTGGACAAACCACCAGAAATTTCCTCTGAAGTTTACAGTCTGTGAACATGAGAAAAAAAAAGAAGAAGAGATTGTATGGACACATTAATTGTGTCCATAATTAACTGTACTCATTCGTCTATCTGTCAAAGCACCATATTTTCATGTTTATTAATTGAAATGGCAGTGTCACTTGATGGGAGGTATGGTCAGTACGATGCCAACCTCGTTTACTTCCCAGAAAATGTCCTACTATGATTTTACAAAATTGTTTTTGGCTGGGGAAATAATGGTCAGTTAAACAGAAAGGAAATAAAAGTGGTTGAGTAGCCATGATAGTGTATTAGCTTGCCTACTAGCTCAGAAGTCATGGGGGTTGAACTGGCATTGAAGCAGATTGTTTATAGTTAACTTGGTTACCTGGTCAACTCAGCCTAAAGTTTGTACCTGGTAATAAGCAAGGATGTGAAGGACCTTGCTGTGATGTTAGTACTATCTCCAATCAATAACTGATTGGTCTGTAAAATATGGGGTCAGGAGCAAAAATACCCAACATGCCTAAATACTTGCCCGTTTCTTTACTTATGTCCACTTAACATGTACCCGGTATGTAGCCAGTGGGTTTTTGTCCACTTAACATGTACCCGGTATGTAGCCAGTGGGTTTTTGTCCACTTAACATGTACCCGGTATGTAGCCAGTGTGTTTTTGAATGTGAGAACGTGGTTACAACCAGCAAAAGACATTCTCATTTCTTTCAGACAGTCGTATGAGAATCACACCATGGATAAGATCGGTTCCTTACCAGACATTACTCTCATAGTGGAGATGGTACACATTTTATTTTTAACAACGGGCAAGATTGATAGATGGGCACCAGGTAAAGTTTAGGGAAGTAAATGTGGCCTACATGATGTTAACCACATCACGCACCGAGTGCTGATTGGTTTATAAAATATATGTCTAGCACTGTTTGCCTTATACAACTCAAGATGTGGAAAAGGCTTGTAAAAGATTGATAGAAAAAAAAGAGTAAGGGAAAGGCAAAGAGATAAATACCTGGATGAGCTGGCCATATAGATGGATAACATCACTGACCTGATCTATGATTCTGGTGATCATGTGAAAGGGCGAAGCATGACCACCTAGGCTTATCCACATGGTACACGTTGAGGATGATACCCAGTGCATCGCCTGGCATGAAAATATATTCTTGACTGTCTGTGTCTGGAAATCAGGGAAACTTTACGGCTTTTTCTGCAAGCAGTCCAGCAGGGATTCCATTATTCAGTGCTTTAGGTTTGGATTGATCCTTTGCCTTTCATCTGTCACAGGAAGCAGATAACTGGACCACTTTAAGTGCTGACATGGATGAGGTCTTCCAGTCCCAGAATGTTGACGATGTATGTATTCTTCTTGTAGACTGGCTGTCTTTTTCTTTGCCTTTCTCTCTCTTCTTGCTTCCTCCCTTGTTGATGGTCTCCTTTTCCACTCACCCTCGGAATTTATTTATTTTCCTTTTCTGTTTCTCTCGTTCTCTCTCATTTATTTGGAGGAAAAAAACAGCCTAGCATGAGATTTGAACCCCAGTAAACATCGGAAAATGCAATGTGAACCCTATCACGAAGCTCAGAGACGCAGAGTTGCACTCTAAGCCACAGAGTTGCCTTCTGAGCCCTACAACTGCACTCTAAGCCACTTGGTTGTACTCTTAAGCCATCGGTTTGCACTGTAAGCCTCAGGGTTGAATTGCATTATAATACACATGGTTGCACTCTGACCCACAGGGATGCACTCTGACCCCCAGGGTTGCATTCTAAGCTGTGGGGTTGCACTCTAAACTACAGGATTACACTCTGAGCTACAGGGTTGTACGCTTAGCCACAGGGTTGTACTCTGAGCCACAGGGTTGTACTCTAAGACAAAAAGCTGCACTCGAAGTCAGTGAGCTGCACTGTAAGTCACATCGTCATAAAAATGGTGCCTATCTGTCTGAGTTACTCTCTTTCACTTCCGGCTTTCTGTCTCTTTTCATAACCTCTCATTTCTTTTCTCTCTTTTCATAGCCTTTCATTTCTTTTCTCTCTCTCTCCTGTGCTGACCCTCCTTGTTCATTTAATTCTTTTTATCAATGATTTACTCTTTCTCTTCTCTCTTTCATTCTCCCTTTTCTCTTTAATTCTCTCTTTTTCTGGTTCTGGGTTAATCCCACCATCCCTCTTTGACTTCATTTATATTTATTTGTATGTTCGACTTTCAAATTCAGTTTTCACATTACTGTGTTTGGTATAATGTTAAATATATATACAGGGCGTTCCATATGTTCCCATAAACATCACCAAAGCCGTTACAAGCACAACACCAGCTGTGCTTGTAAGAGGTTTTCAGCAGCAAAGGACACACATCAAAAGTGTTTTTCTTTGTATGGAAACTTTTTGGACACCCTTGTGACATGAAACTGATAAGACAGAATAATTTTTTTTTGTTTATACAATTAAATTACAGTAAAACCTCATTAAATTAAATTCCAAAGGACTGAAAATTCAAAGAGTTAGAAAATACACCCCTGTAGGAGCCAACATTTGGCTCATGCTGACTGTTCTTCTAAGGTGAGATCAAGTTGACAAAGGTTTCACTGTAGTTTTTTACAGTCTCATCCCAGAGCTTGGATTTTTGATGCTAATCTGTTTTACAGATCTGGCTTATTTGTATGCAGACTGTTGGTTCCTCATCTCTCAGGCAGATGTACTCTGACTTTGAAGGAAATTAACTGTATGTTACTAGGGCCCACAAGGAGAGCAAAGAATGGTAACTTTGTAATGTACCACACATGTAGTCAAAGATAGCCGAGGATGTTAGCACAAGAATAAAAATTGTCTAGTAGCATCTTTATATGCATTTTAAATAATTCCAGTGTGATCTACAGAAGTGAATGAAGGACTCTTGGTCGATTAGTGAAGCATTGTGTTGAAGCTGCAGAGATGTGCTTCTTGAGATGAAGATAAGAACACCCTGGGTAGATAAAAACAAAAAGGGTAATGAGGACGTCTTGAGAGAAACTGACTCATGAAGAGAAACAATTGTCCACATTAGAAGGAGACACTCTACACACTTGGGTCATGAGAAGGAGAAAACTGGAGTACATGTGACGGTGGGAAAGTTGGAGGGGAAGAGAGGCAGAGGTAAGCTGGCATGGAAGACCATCTGTGTCATAAGTAATTGAAAGTACATAAGACAGAATATAGATGGACATGACTACCAACACCACACGGCATAGACTACAAGAATATGAAGCAGAGCCATCTTTGCATTAAAGGTTGGTTTCAGTAAATTCCAGTCCTACATCTTCATGGAGTATTAACAGTTATTTTTTTCAGTCCATTCCTTCATAATGTCTTAGAAGGCTTACCTTTTGCAGAAGATATAATTCCTTCTTCTTTTCCAGCTCTGTTCTGTCTTTCAGCATCAGGTTTTGAAAAGGCATTGGGTGCGCATCTTAGTATGAGCTACGTAGATGCTGGTACTTGTGGCCTCAGATATTCATTTTGTCCATCATTTGTGTGCTCGACCTCTAGTTCAGCTTCAGTTATGTCTAAGTGACAGGAGCAGTACACTATCTGGTGGTAGCCATGACATATGTCCTAATTATTTGATCTGTTCTTTTTGACTTAGTTTATCATTGGTTCTGTCCCAGACATCCATCCTGACATCGTCATTTCTGACCCTGTCATTTCTAGTTACGTTTAGATTCGTCGTAGACATTGTTGAGTTTCTGTTGTATGTACTCGCCTGTAATTTTCTCATGTCTGTAGATAACGGTGAATCAAAAGTTTGTTTATCTTTGCACAGATCACCAGCAAACTCCGAGGCATGCAACAGAGTCTGGTTAGTAGTTACACAATTCTACTGATAATTACACATGTGAAAATAGTCTTTATGTGATTCTACATGCATGTTGTGATTGTAAAATTGTTACCTACAATTGCTGTCATGTAATGTTAGAGCAAAACAGTTTAGATATGGAACTGTAAATTCTACGATTTGAAAACCAAGCTACATATTTTTAATGTTAATATTATTTAAGTTTTAACTTATGCAGTGAAACAATCACTAAAGGCGTGAAGCGAAAATGAAATGCTTTAGAAAATAATTCCCTAATTGATGAACATGAAACGGGAGGAATTCAGGAAAAGCAAAGAAATAAGAGAACTGTCTGGACAACCCAGCGTTCATGTTTTATGTGACAGTGTCTGTAGATGGCTAGCCGTTCTGTGGAGAGATATGAAGGCATATTAGATAAAACCCAGTGCAGTTGATCTGTAAAACGGGTGTGCATGCAACATGCAGGATATGGAACAAGACTAAAGTCTGGAGGTGGACGAGCTACCAGAACCTTCAGCCGGAGTTTACAGCTGGTGAACGCAAAGAAGAAGAAGTGCTGATACATGTTGCTGTTTGATGGCTTCAAATGATGTACTTGTGCTGTTCTACTGTCCTGACACATGTTGCTGTTTTACTGACCTGACACATGTTGCTGTTCTACTGTCCTGACACATGTTGCTGTTTTACTGTGGTGACACATGTTGCTGTTTTACTGTGGTGACACATGTTGCTGTTTTACTGTCCTGACACATGTTGCTGTTCTACTGTCCTGACACATGTTGCTGTTTTACTGTCCTGACACATGTTGCTGTTCTACTGTCCTGACACATGTTGCTGTTTGATGACTTGATGTAGTTGTGCTGTTCTACTGTCCTGACACATGTTGCTGTTCTACTGTCCTGACACATGTTGCTGTTCTACTGTCCTGACACATGTTGCTGTTTTACTGTCTTGACACATGTTGCTGTTCTACTGTCCTGACACATGTTGTTGTTCTACTGTCCTGACACATGTTGCTGTTCTACTGTCCTGACACATGTTGCTGTTCTACTGTCCTGACACATGTTGCTGTTCTACTGTCCTGACACATGTTGCTGTTTTACTGTCCTGACACATGTTGCTGTTCTACTGTCCTGACACTTGTTGCTGTTTTACTGTCCTGACACATGTTGCTGTTCTACTGTCCTGACACATGTTGCTGTTCTACTGTCCTGACACATGTTGCTGTTCTACTGTCCTGACACATGTTGCTGTTCTACTGTCCTGACACATGTTGCTGTTCTACTGTCCTGACACATGTTGCTGTTCTACTGTCCTGACACATGTTGCTGTTTTACTGTCCTGACACACGTTGCTGTTTTACTGTCCTGACACATGTTGTTGTTTTACTGTCCTGACACATGTTGCTGTTTTACTGTCCTGACACATGTTGTTGTTTTACTGTTCTGACACATGTTGTTGTTTTACTGTTCTGACACATGTTGCTGTTTTACTGTCCTGACACATAGTGCTGTTCTACTGTCCTGACACATGTTGCTGTTCTACTGTCCTGACACATGTTGCTGTTCTACTGTCCTGACACATGTTGCTGTTCTACTGTCCTGACACATGTTGCTGTTCTACTGTCCTATCACATGTTGCTGTTCTACTGTCCTGACACATGTTGCTGTTTTACTGTCCTGACACATGTTGCTGTTCTACTGTCCTATCACATGTTGCTGTTTTACTGTCCTGACACATGTTGCTGTTCTACTGTCCTGACACATGTTGCTGTCTACTGTCCTGACACATGTTGCTGTTCTACTGTCCTGACACATGTTGCTGTTCTACTGTCCTGACACATGTTGCTGTTCTACTGTCCTGACACATGTTGCTGTTCTGCTGTCCTGACACATGTTGCTGTTCTACTGTCCTGACACATGTTGCTGTTCTACTGTCCTGACACATGTTGCTGTTCTACTGTCCTGACAGATGTTGCTGTTCTACTGTCCTGACACATGTTGCTGTTCTACTGTCCTGACACATGTTGCTGTACGGACACTATTATCCGAACTAGGCAACCGCTGTAAATTAGTAATGCAGTGGATACCTTCCCACTGTGGAGTTCCCGGAAACGAAAAAGCTGATAAACTAGCTAAGGAAGGTGCAACTGAAGAACAACCTGACATACCAGTCTCTTATCAACAGAAGAAGAGAATGATCAAATCATGCCACCGAAACTGGCACAAGATGATTACCATATTATGGACAGACCAGAGCAAGTTATTATCCTTCGCCTTAGAACAGGGCACAATAGACTTCGCTCCCACATGTACAACAAATTTAAGATTGGCCAATCGGCCATGTGTACTTGTGGACTGGCACCTGAAACAACAGATCACATCCTTCAAGACTGTCCCATATTCAACGCTTTCAGGCAAAACATTTGGCCAAAAGAGACACTTGTGGAAGTCAAACTTTACGGGCCGCTTAGTGAATTACAAAAGACAGTGAAATTCATACAAGAGACGGCTTTGCAGATATAGACAATTTATTTCATGCGAACGAAAGAAGAAGAAGAAGACATGTTGCTGTTTTTGTCTCTTTCAGCTGATGCTGGTGGACACGCCGGACTATGTGGAGAAATGTCAGCGGCTGGAGAAGTTGAAGAATCGGCTGGAAGCCATTTTGAGCCCACAGTTGATATCTGCATTCAATTCTCAGTCTTTAGGTAAGTAAAGTCAAGGGCCTTTCTTTCACAGAACAGGGCATATGGATAACTGGTGCTGGTCATACATTTCTTAGACCGATAGACCATCACTGAGCTTATGTGGTCACTTGACACTAAATATACTTATGTGGTCACTTGACACTGAATATACTTATGTGGTCACTATCACTTTGCCAAATGGTCAGGTCATGATCAGATGTGGCTAAGCTACCTTGTAACAGTAGTCGCTACTACATGATTTCTATATAATGTTGAATGTTAGCCAGCGTATTCCAAAACTGACATCCTACATTGTACGATGGCTTCGGGCAGAGGAGCGCTTTGGAGAGGATACTAGCGTTATCCTAGAAAGAGGAAATGCAACTTGAAAACCTAATGTTATGGCAGGGCAGACCAGGCCCTTTGCTTAGACAGGCAGCCGGTCTAGTAAGGAAGCACCGATGGGAGAACAGACAGAGCACTGTTCTTCTGATCTGGCGTCTTCTTCAGCATTCTTTGTTCCACATGTAACACATGGTCTCTGCAATACTGTCCACGCTTTGTGCTATGGAGAGAAAGAACTTCATTCCCATGCGTCTGGATGGCACAGTATAATACTGTCATCTGGAGGGGAGCCATCAACGTCTTCCCAGGAGATTTCTTGATGCCTGTTTTAGGTTGGGTTGGCCTGGGAGCCAGGAACACAGGAAAAAACTGATACCTCCAGTGGGATTGAGATACTTGAGCTGTAGGCTAACCAGCACTAATGCTGGACATTGTACTGCTGTAACTCTCATTCCTTGGATAGGAAAGTGCAGCAGTTACAGTCAAAGGGAACTAAAGAGTGAAGGAAAAAGATAGGGAGGACATGGGTAAGCTGCATGCGATAGAAGGTAGGGTCTTTCTCTTCTTCTTCTTTGCGTTCACCAGCCGTGAACTCAGCCAGAAAGTTCTGATTTGCTTTTCCACTTCAAAGACTTTGATCTTGTTCCGGAACTTGAGTTTTGCCTGCACCTATATTTGACAGATCTGGCTTATCTGAAGGTAGACTGCTCGTTCATTATCTCGCAGGCAGTTGCACTCCTTTGAAGAAAAAAAAGATAGGATGACTTGGTGTGAATTGGTGGAGCTGTTACTGTTGTCTTCAACACAAGTTTGTTATCATATGCTGCCTGTATTCTTGAATGAAAGTTCATTGTCAACATCCTTTAAATGAAAGAAACTGAATCGCAGCTCTTTGAGCTTCTTCTGACAGATTTGACTGTGATGTGATCATGTTCAGCACCACAGTTACATACGGTGCGACACGAACATGTTTCAGATGTGTGCTCCTAATATTTATATATAAACAGCTTTGTACTTAGGTGATATGCAGTATGTTGCATTACAGAACAAACACAGAAGTATGTAGCCATATTTGAGAGCATCAACAGACTACCACAGCTCTTAGGTGATATGTAGTATGTTGCATTACAGAACAAACACAGAAGTATGTAGCCATATTTGAGAGCATCAACAGACTGCCACAGCTCTTCAAGTACTACCACAAGTGCCATAAGGTCAGTGCTGTCTTAGATACCTCGGTTATTTTGTTTAATTAGGCTGGTTTGATTTTTCAAAATTGACTTTTTTTCCTCCTATGTCGACCCCATCCTAAAATAGGTACAGCTGATGTCCTGGGAAGGGAAGGTAGCCTGTATGATGTTTATAACATCACTCATCATGTACCAGTCGATCTGTAACATTGTAGATCTAGCACTGTATGCCCAGACCTGTAACATTGTAGATCTAGCACTGTATGCCTAAATCTGTAACATTGTAGATCTAGCACTGTATGCCAAGATCTGTAACATTGTAGATCTAGCACTGTATGCCCAGATCTGTAACATTGTAGATCTAGCACTGTATGCCCAGATCTGTAACATTGTAGATCTAGCACTGTATGTCAAGATCTGTAACATTGTAGATCTAGCACTGTATGTCAAGATCTGTAACATTGTAGATCTAGCACAGTATGTCAAGATCTGTAACATTGTAGATCTAGCACTGTATGTCCAGATCTGTAACATTGTAGATCTAGCACTGTATGTCAAGATCTGTAACATTGTAGATCTAGCACTGTATGTCCAAGTGTGACAAAGGCTCCAGATGAGTCCTGTAGTCCTTTAATATTTGGTTAAGATTTGTTGTCACCACATTATTGAGAAATTCATGGAAGCTGCAGAGATTGCAATAGATTCATATTGCTGGAAGTTAGGAAAAGAATTCTTGCCTACTGTGTAGAGCCAGTTTTAACATACTGCTGGGAGTCCTGGACACTTGATAAACAAACCAAACAGTTTCTTTCAGAAAGTCAGTAAAAGTAAAGTAAAAATCCCTTTTCACACCTTTCGGCGCATCGGGCATATGGGCAGAGCGTTCCATATTTTTACAGACCATCAGCACTCTGTGGGTAATGTGGTCAGCATTACGCCGGCTGTCTTTACTTTCCCAGGACAGCCCATCCTGGTACCCATTTTAGGCTGGGTCGAGAGACAGTCATTATTTTTTATAGATCTTGTTTTAAGAAGAAGAAAACTGGAGCATGTTGGAAATAGAGACAGAGGAAGACACCACAAAAAGATTCTTGACACCTTTTGACGTGGCATCGAAAAGTGACACAAACTGATGCTCACAGTTGCTGATTGTGGGGGGGGGGGGGGGGGCATAATTGCCCATGCCAGTTGGCAAGGTACTTGATGATGATGGTGCTTTTATAGATTAGTAAAGATATCCTAAAATAGTTGGTTGCAGGAAATTGCAGAACCAACCCCAGCATTTACATCTAACTATGAATGACAGCAAGGGTGTGGAATTTACCTATAACTATGAATGACAGCAAGGCTGTGGCATTTACCTAAAATTATGAATGACTGCAAGGGTGTGGAATTTACCTATATCTATGAATGACAGCAAGGCTGTGGAATTTACCTATAACTATGAATGAAATCAAAAGTGTGGAGTTTACATATTAAATAATTAGCTATATATGACAGTGATTATATATTAGATGAACTGGGAATGACATATGGTTTGAAATTAAATTGTTAAATAATGAACTGTTCATAACGGTCTGTGAGCTTTTGGAATTTAGTTATTAAATAATTAGCAATATATGACAGTGATGGAACTTTATCATTAACAGAACAACTTACTGCAAACATGGAAAAATACCTGGGATGGCAACCCGAGCAAGACTGCACTCAACGACCTCTATGATATGCTTCAGTCTACCTGGCACACACAGATCAAGTGGTCAGCCCAGGTATTTGCTGACCCGGTGACCATTGTCCTTGACCTGCTGACCCAAACCTTGACATCCCTGGATCCCTCCCTGTCTACTGTCTTCACACGGTTGGTCGGAGAGAAGGAAGGCCCTCTCGACTCATTGATTGAGTTGAAGCAGGTACAATAAAATTGTAATCAGGAAATTAGATGAACACATAAGGTTTTTTTCTACAGAATACATATTTCCTCAAGTATGGACACAGCAGCAGAAATACATATCATCCAGAGATGAAGTTTAGCAACAGCATTCTATTCACTTGCAATGTTAAATAATGTCTTCAGTATGATTTCAATCATTGACCACGCAGAGGTTGCAAAATTCAGGTGAACTCCATGTAATAAATCCATATTGCCACATCCACATCTATCTTAGCACAGTCAGTCTTTATCTCCTGTGTGTCCAGACACAATCATTGAGTTGTTCATGATCATACACCTGCTAGGTTCTCGTCAAATCTGGGTCTTTATATTCTGAATCAGTTCTGTGGGTCATACTATTGCAGGTCATCATCTTTGACCATCTCTTTCTTGCGATTCACTTACTGTAAACTCTGGTGGAAAGTTCTGGTAGTTTATCTACTTCTGAACTTTAGTCTTGTTCCAGAACCAAGTTTTATGTGCACATTCTTTTTGCTTATCTGGCATATTTGAATGCTTTTTGTATATTTTACAACTGTGACTTCACCTCTGTGACAATAGACATGTTGTCACTGGCTGTCAATGTGAAGCTAGCTGGTTTTAAACTTGTAACAAACATGAAGAATGCCATAATTTCTGAAATGAAAACCCAGAAAACTGGTGAAATTCCCCACTTCTCAGGCAGATGCCCTCCAACTTTGAAGGAAACTTACCTGAGTAGTAGATTTGTATGTCAGGCTTAATACAGGGGCAGTGGGTCTTCTCTTCCCCCCCCCCCCCCACACACACACACACACGATAGGGCCCTAGAATTAACATGGGGAATCATCTTTGACTTGGCCATCCAACATCCTTTCTCCTGGCCCCCCTTTGCTTCTTCTAATGCTCAACTACTCTGTGTGCATGTGAACACCATCCTTGTTTTGTGTGCGTTTTCTTCTTTATATTCATAAATGTGAATAGCTATAAACATAGCATTTATTATAGATAAAATACAGTTTCTGTGAGAAGGATAAGTGTTTGGAAGGGCTGTATGTCAGATGAGCCTGGTGCCAAATCAGTGACCATTTGAAGACAAAAGTTCAAACTTACTAGTTTAGGGGATGATTTCCAGTGCCATTCTGTTCATCACATAATCAGATAACGCTTTTTCTTTCTCATAGCCACATTTGATGTTTAGCATACAGGTTTATTTACTACACTAATGTCTTCAGGCCTGATTTTAACATAAAGTTATGGTTGGTGATGTTTTGTTAATCCAGAGGTAATGAGACAATTAAAATAGAAGTAGATCCCAGTATCAGTGTTGGTATCTTGTGGAATTACCCATCCAGCCCATCTTCTTCTTCATAGTGTCACTGGCTGTAAACTCTGGCCGAAAGTCCTGGCTATTTGCCAAATTCCAGACTGGATTGTTCCTGAACTTGAGTTTTGTGTGCACATCTGTTTTCCAGATCTGACTTATTTGTATGCAATCTGTTGGTTCCTTGCCTCTCTGACCAATAAACTGTAAATTTAAAGCCCTCCCCCCACCCTCTTTCTCCCCTCCACCCACGGCTAATTAGCAATAATTTACTGCATGTGTTAGGGGAAAAGTGTCAGACCCATTGGACTGCAGAACCCACAGTGGAGAAAATTGAATGTACTATGATCTACTTGATACTTACTTGTTTACTTGATATATTTCTATCACCTGTCAGGTGTCAGACAGGTTTGCCAGGAGCCTGGAGGATGCAGTTGACAGCTGTCTGCAGGGTAGGACTTGCCAGTTTGTTTCTTTTTGTGAACCATGGACTGTTGAGAATTGTTTACAAATAAGACTTATCAAAATGTTCATGTTAAATGAACAAACTGCCACTGCTAGATTTACACTTTTCCTATATTACTCGATGGTTGAAAACTACTCAGTATGTCGCTGGACTGTTGAGAGGAGTTCCATAAATATAGACAGACACATCTGGGTTAGGCCTGGTCAGTGTCAGAGAGGAAGTGTGAAACTGGAGTCAGTGAACCCTCACCTCCTGGTACTTTTAATGTCACCTCTTGTCTTGCAAAATTGTCACCGCTGTCATGAATTTAATATAACTTGTGACTTTTCTCTACCTCTACAGTCTGGGGGCACCAACTTACCTTCTATTAGAGTATACTTACATCAACTTCTTCTCTACCTCTACAGTCTGGGGGCACCAACTTACCTTCTATTAGAGTATACTTACATCAACTTCTTCTCTACCTCTACAGTCTGGGGGCACCAACTTACCTACTATTAGAGTATGCTTACACCAACTTCTTCTCTACCTCTACAGTCTGGGGGCACCAACTTACCTACTATTAGAGTATACTTACATCAACTTCTTCTCTACCTCTACAGTCTGGGGGCACCAACTTACTTTCTTTAGAGTGTGCTTACAACAACTTTTTCTCTACCTCTACAGTCTGGGGGCACCAACTTACCTTCTTTACAGTATGCTTACATCAACTTCTTCTCTACCTCTACAGTCTGCGGGCATCAACTTACCTTCTATTAGAGTATGCTTACACCAACTTCTTCTCTACCTCTAAAGTCTGGGAGCACCAACTTTTTCTCTACCACGACAGTCTGGGGGCACCAACTTACCTTCTATTAGAGTATACTTACATCAACTTCTTCTCTACCTCTACAGTCTGGGGGCACCAACTTACCTACTATTAGAGTATACTTACATCAACTTCTTCTCTACCTCTACAGTCTGGGGGCACCAACTTACTTTCTTTAGAGTGTGCTTACAACAACTTTTTCTCTACCTCTACAGTCTGGGGGCACCAACTTACCTTCTTTACAGTATGCTTACATCAACTTCTTCTCTACCTCTACAGTCTGCGGGCATCAACTTACCTTCTATTAGAGTATGCTTACACCAACTTCTTCTCTACCTCTAAAGTCTGGGAGCACCAACTTTTTCTCTACCACGACAGTCTGGGGGCACCAACTTACCTTCTATTAGAGTATACTTACATCAACTTCTTCTCTACCTCTACAGTCTGGATGCACCAACTTACCTTCTATTAGAGTATACTTAATCAACTTCTTCTCTACCTCTACAGTCTGGGGGCACCAACTTACCTACTATTAGAGTATGCTTACACCAACTTCTTCTCTACCTCTACAGTCTGGGGGCACCAACTTACCTTCTTTACAGTATGCTTACACCAACATTTTCTCTACCTTTAAAGTCTGGAGGCACCAACTTACCTTCTATTAGAGTATGCTTACACCAACTTCTTCTCTACCTCTACAGTCTAGGGGCACCAACTTACCTACTATTAGAGTATGCTTACACCAACCTCTTCTCTACCTCTACAGTCTGCGGGCACCAACTTACCTACTATTAGAGTATGCTTACACCAACTTCTTCTCTACCTCTAAAGTCTGGAGGCACCAACTTACCTTCTATTAGAGTATACTTACATCAACTTCTTCTCTACCTCTCCAGTCTGCGGGCACCAACTTACCTACTATTAGAGTATGCTTACATCAACTTCTTCTCTACCTCTGCAGTCTGGAGGCACCAACTTACCTTCTATTAGAGTATACTTACACCAACCTCTTCTCTACCTCTCCAGTCTGCGGGCACCAACTTACCTACTATTAGAGTATGCTTACACCAACTTCTTCTCTACCTCTACAGTCTGGGGGCACCAACTTACCTACTATTAGAGTATACTTAATCAACCTCTTCTCTACCTCTACAGTCTGCGGGCACCAACTTACTTTCTTTAGAGTGTGCTTACAACAACTTTTTCTCTACCTCTACAGTCTGGGGGCACCAACTTACCTACTATTAGAGTATACTTACATCAACTTCTTCTCTACCTCTACAGTCTGGGGGCACCAACTTACCTACTATTAGAGTATACTTACATCAACTTCTTCTCTACCTCTACAGTCTGGGGGCACCAACTTACCTTCTATTAGAGTATACTTACATCAACTTCTTCTCTACCTCTACAGTCTGGGGGCACCAACTTACCTACTATTAGAGTATACTTACATCAACCTCTTCTCTACCTCTACAGTCTGGGGGCACCAACTTACCTACTATTAGAGTATACTTACATCAACCTCTTCTCTACCTCTACAGTCTGGGGGCACCAACTTACCTACTATTAGAGTATACTTACACCAACCTCTTCTCTACCTCTACAGTCTGGGGGCACCAACTTACCTTCTATTAGAGTATACTTACACCAACCTCTTCTCTACCTCTACAGTCTGGGAGCACCAACTTACCTTCTATTAGAGTATACTTACACCAACCTCTTCTCTACCTCTACAGTCTGCGGGCACCAACTTACCTACTATTAGAGTATGCTTACACCAACCTCTTCTCTACCTCTACAGTCTGCGGGCACCAACTTACCTACTATTAGAGTATGCTTACACCAACCTCTTCTCTACCTCTACAGTCTGCGGGCACCAACTTACCTACTATTAGAGTATGCTTACACCAACCTCTTCTCTACCTCTACAGTCTGCGGGCACCAACTTACCTACTATTAGAGTATGCTTACACCAACCTCTTCTCTACCTCTACAGTCTGGGGGCACCAACTTACCTACTATTAGAGTATACTTACACCAACCTCTTCTCTACCTCTACAGTCTGGGGGCACCAACTTACCTACTATTAGAGTATGCTTACACCAACCTCTTCTCTACCTCTACAGTCTGCGGGCACCAACTTACCTACTATTAGAGTATGCTTACACCAACCTCTTCTCTACCTCTACAGTCTGCGGGCACCAACTTACCTACTATTAGAGTATGCTTACACCAACCTCTTCTCTACCTCTACAGTCTGCGGGCACCAACTTACCTTCTATTAGAGTATACTTAATCAACTTCTTCTCTACCTCTACAGTCTGGGGGCACCAACTTACCTACTATTAGAGTATGCTTACACCAACCTCTTCTCTACCTCTACAGTCTGGGGGCACCAACTTACCTACTATTAGAGTATGCTTACACCAACCTCTTCTCTACCTCTACAGTCTGGGGGCACCAACTTACCTACTATTAGAGTATGCTTACACCAACCTCTTCTCTACCTCTACAGTCTGGAGGCACCAACTTACCTACTATTAGAGTATGCTTACACCAACCTCTTCTCTACCTCTACAGTCTGGAGGCACCAACTTACCTACTATTAGAGTATGCTTACACCAACCTCTTCTCTACCTCTACAGTCTGGGGGCACCAACTTACCTACTATTAGAGTATGCTTACACCAACCTCTTCTCTACCTCTACAGTCTGGGGGCACCAACTTACCTACTATTAGAGTATGCTTACACCAACCTCTTCTCTACCTCTACAGTCTGGAGGCACCAACTTACCTACTATTAGAGTATGCTTACACCAACCTCTTCTCTACCTCTACAGTCTGGAGGCACCAACTTACCTACTATTAGAGTATGCTTACACCAACCTCTTCTCTACCTCTACAGTCTGGGGGCACCAACTTACCTACTATTAGAGTATGCTTACACCAACTTCTTCTCTACCTCTACAGTCTGGGGGCACCAACTTACCTACTATTAGAGTATGCTTACACCAACCTCTTATCTACCTCTACAGTCTGGGGGCACCAACTTACCTACTATTAGAGTATGCTTACACCAACCTCTTCTCTACCTCTACACTCTGGGGGCACCAACTTACCTACTATTAGAGTATGCTTACACCAACCTCTTCTCTACCTCTACACTCTGGGGGCACCAACTTACCTACTATTAGAGTATGCTTACACCAACCTCTTCTCTACCTCTACAGTTTGGGAACACTCAAACTCCTCTTGCCTCTATAGTGGGTTAAAATGGTTACTGTAAGGAACAAACGTGAGAGAGGAGTGGAGCTAAAGTATTAAAATTTACATGTGATGGTATTAGACATAGGTGAAACATCTTTGATTTCCCCAGGTGATGGTATTAGACATAGGTGAAACATCTTTGATCTCCCCAGGTGAGGGTATTAGTCATAGGTGAAACATCTTTGATCTCCCCAGATGATGGTATAAGACATAGGTGAAACACCTTTGATCTCCCCAGGTGATGGTATTAGACATAGGTAAAAACATCTTTGATCTCCCCAGGTGAGGGTATTAGACAGGTGAAACATCTTTGATCTCCCCAGGTGAGGGTATTAGACAGAGGTGAAACATATTTGATCTCCCCAGGTGATGGTATTAGACATGGGTGAAACATCTGTGATCTCCCCAGGTGAGGGTATTAGACAGAGCTGAAACATCTTTGATCTCCCCAGGTGATGGTATTAGACAGAGGTGAAACATCTTTGATCTCCCCAGGTGATAGTATTAGACAGAGGTGAAACATCTATGATCTCCTCAGGTGATGGTATTAGACAGAGGTGAGACATCTTTGATCTCCCCAGGTGATGGTATTAGACATAGGTGAAACATCTGTGATCTCCCCAGGTGAGGGTATTAGACAGAGGTGAAACATCTTTGATCTCCCCAGGTGATGATATTAGACATAGGTAAAACATCTTTGATCTCCCCAGGTGGTGGGCTGCAGCATGCCCAGAGTTTGCAGAATTTGATGACAGCCATCTTCAGCCCGTACCAGGTGTACACGGGCAAGTACCGCATCTTTGAGGAGGTGGCTCTAACTAAACACCTGGACAACATCAAACTGGTAAGACTGTCCCCCCTCCCTTAGATAAGAGAATGTTCGCTTGGTTTGAGGCTGAGTGGTTTCTGGATTTGATACTTCTCTCTTTTTTCTACCCCATCTTCTTCTTTTCCTCATTTCTTTTGTTTAGCAAAGATCTCATTGGGCTCAACAAGCAGAGAAGATGGTGTCCTCTTCTTCTTTGTCTGCCCAAGTGGCGTAAATGTGTTGTGCCTGTTGACAGCAAAGCTACAATATTTGCACCTTTCAGTCGACACATCTAACTTCTGCAGACATGTCTTATCCTGGTTAGACTTGCGATTGACTGACTTTCTACCCCACCAGGACATCACGCAAGCGATAAACACCCGATGACACAATGTGCCACCATGCGGGTGAGGATCACCGTGGAGAGGTCCCAGAAACCGCCTTCAGGCCATATTTATGGCCAGGCTATATTGCAGCCCCTGGCAAAAGCCAGGGTAGGGCTTCAAATAACGAAAAATGTTGTCCTAAAAAGGACAGGAAGTATCGAACGAGCAACTTATCCCGATTAGTTCCCTAGGACATTTATAGCATATTCATATGTGTGGTGACTTCGTCATCGCCTAATCCACTGGAGTTTTTCCTAGAATACCTATCCAGGATAGTGGCTTACAGTTTGGTCAACCATCATGGGTAGAGTGGGCATTCCCAACCATCAAAGATGGTTTCCGTAAATGCAGAGCACTGTGGTACTGGCCTGACCCCAGGAATCATCACATTCTACAAATGACTTATGCCTTATTCTTTTGAAAGCCAACCTTATATTTTGTTCTTCAGACTTTGATATGTCTTCTGGCCTAATATGTTTTTTTTTTTCCTTTTCTCAGGACCATGAAGAGGTCATTGATACAGTTCAGCTTTTGTCAGAGTCTGTGCCCAAAATGTTCTCAGCAGCCAAATTGGTATGACAATTTTTTTTTTTTTAAATATTTCCTGTATAAATTAAGCATTATGATATTCTTTAATTATTTAAAAGATCTGAATATCTTTTAAAGACTGGCTCATTAATTGCAGAAACTGAAAAAACTTTGACATTAATTGTAAGAGCGACTTACAAAGAACAGTAATGGAAAGCAAGGAGTCTGGAAGAAGGGACAGAGGGTAATCAAAATTAAGGTGGACACATGGCCTTACCGATATCCTAGGCATGGAAGTAAAGAAGGGCGGGATAGTGGGGAAAAAGCAAGAGTTTTTCTAGCAGGTATTTATAGGGGCACTAATCTTCAAAGAGACTGCTGTGTGATGAAAGTGATAATACTCTTATTGGAGAATGAGAAAATAACAAGCCCTATTGAACTGTCTTGAGGTGGAACAGACAAAAAGTTGAAATGATGCAAATTTGCCACATTTACAGGAGCTTTACTGTATAAACATAAACATCTACTTAGCACAAGAAGCAGGGCTTCAAAAGCATAGGCCAGGAAGGGCGGTCATGAGATTAGCCCGATTCTTATATGGCACAAGAAGTAGTGAGTTATGTCTGAATAATGCAGACAGATTGAAGGCATGAGAAGAAGTGTGAAAGAGGCGCACTTCATTCTATGTTTCACCCAAGGATGAGGAGCATGGAAGAGTTAGTGTGATTGAAGCTGAAGCTATCCAAGCAGCCCGCAGAAGCCATGGATATCTGGTGATTATGTTTGTGAAGATGAATGACCAACTGATGACTGCTAGCTGTCTTGTCTGCAATGTCCCTGTGAAGTTGGGCATGTCAGTGATTGTCTGTGCACATTAGTATACATGCACACTGGTATATGCTGAGAAACAGCTTGGTGTGTTTGATACATTTGTGCTATTTGCTAGCATGTCATACCCTAAACAACCTATTAGTGACAGAGAAGAGACTATGCAACCTGGAACAGATATCTCAGCAATTACTGTATGTCAAGCATTGTGTTCTATCCAGTCAGTGGTTGACTTCTGTGTGTAGTTAGTCTGTGTTGCTGTATACTTGGACAGCCATAGTCCCAGCCCTCTGTTGTGTTACTGAACCAGTGTGAAGAAACACATGGTCATACCAACAGCTCCATGTTTGTGTAAACCAGTGGCCACACAAAGGGTGATATAGTGTTGTTTCTGACAGTGCTACGAGACCAGTAGTCTTACAGTCTACTCCTCATAATTCCACATAGCTGTGGGATATGAATGTGCATAACTTACACACAGAATATCCTGTTTTTGCAACTTTTATCTGAGATCTAAGTGACTGGTTAATAGTACAAGTGATTCAACAATACCTGGACAACAGTACCTGCTGACAGAGACTGATACACTGTTGTGAAATACTAAATAAACATTTGCACATAATTCATTTGTGTTTATGCAAGGCAATTGTGGACTTCAGTATTTACGGTTCTCTGCATGCAGGACACAAGGACTTCACAAGTTCCTCGTGAATATAATGGTTCAGAGCCAACGAATGGGAGAGTGTTAGAGGAACAAGAGATCACTCAGTCCAGAGATGATCATTGCAAACTAGTCACTTCAGAGAAACAAGAGATTGCTCAGTCCAGAGATGATCATTGCAAACTAGTCACTTCAGAGGAACAAACATGATCATTGCAAACTAGTCACTTTAGAGGAACAAACATGATAATTGCAACTAGTCACTTCAGAAGAACAAACATGATCATTGCAACTAGTCACTTTAGGGGAACAAACATGATCATTGCAAGTAGTCACTTTAGAGGAACAAACATGATCATTGCAAGTAGTCACTTTAGAGGAACAAACATGATCATTGCAAGTAGTCACTTTAGAGGAACAAACATGATCATTGCAAGTAGTCACTTTAGAGGAACAAACATGATCATTGCAAGTAGTCACTTTAGAGGAACAAACATGATCATTGCAAGTAGTCACTTTAGAGGAACAAACATGATCATTGCAAGTAGTCACTTTAGAGGAACAAACATGATCATTGCAAGTAGTCACTTTAGAGGAACAAACATGATCATTGCAAGTAGTCACTTCTCATGATACAAAGCTTAGCACTGACACTACTACAGTAAAATATATAATTATTTTAATCCCTTTTCTTCATTGCAGGCAAATGACAGATGTCAAAAGTTAACCAATGGTTTCTGCTACATTGGTTTAATGGATGCCCTTAAGGTGCTGTTTCAGTATGTTGTTGTTGTTGTTGTGCTATTATTTTTTTTGTTTTTTGTGTTGACTGGCTGTAAACGATGGGAAATTCTGGTTGCTCATCCAGTTGTGGACTGTAGTCTTGTTCCACAATCTGAGTTTTCATGCACACCTCCGTTTTACAAATGTGTTTTATTTGTATGCACACTGCTGGTTCCTTGCCTCTCGGGTAGGTGCATTCCTACCACACAAATATAGCCTCAAACTAGTCAACACTTACGACATGCTTTTTGGAGAGGCAGTGTGTCTATTCTTGTTTTCCTCACAGTGGGACCACGGACCCACACCATTGGGTTTGTGGTTTTACTAACAAAGTCTTTCTATGCAGCTTGTTGGAGTCTGTTGGCAGTGAAACATCACCAGTCTGTGTCTTACCCTAGTCAGTCTATATGTGCTGTACCAAATCAGCACCTGGTTACAACTTATTTTGGCATCTTAATTGTGGTAAACTGTTTGTGTTGTTACTTATGATAGATGCCTTATGCATTTAATGTCTGTATGCTGTTGGCATGTCACACAGTCTTTTTTTAGTTTTCACTAGCACATGAATGGAGCAATTTTGTTATGGAGTGATGTGTGCTAAACTCACTTTGCTACTCAGGTGTTCCAGAAGTCAGAGGCCTATGCCAGTCGTAAAGCACCTAGATGGTGATGATGACAAAGACGAGCGTAAAAATTCTATGCTGCCTGAAGGGAAAATTATTTCATAGGCAACAAAGCATCCAACAATAGGTACCAAGCCTTCCTGCGTCAGAGAGAGTTATTGTTTTGTCTCATGTAACTCATATTACAATGGAAGCCAAGCCTCCCTAAGATGGAGAGTGATCATTTGTTTTCTGTTTCCGTATTATTCAACCTCAGAATGTGTCGTGCCAGGGAAAGTTGGCAGCCATTGCTTGTCATCAACTTGTAGACTTGGAACCTTTGGCTAACCAACAGTATTACAATGGAGGCTAGGCCACGCCTTCCTACGTTGGAGAGAACTTTGTCACTTGTAGCTGTGGTTTTAGCATTGGATCTCATGTCACTTGTAGCTGTGGTTTTAACATTGGACTTCATGTCACTTGTAGCTGTGGTTTTAACATTGGATCTCATGTCACTTGTAGCTATGGTTTTAGCGTTGGACTCTCATGTCACTTGTAGCTATGGTTTTAGCGTTGGACTCTCATGTCACTTGTAGCTGTGGTTTTAACATTGGACTCTCATGTAGCTGTGGTTTTACTTGTAGCTGTGGTTTTAACGTTAGACTCTCATGTCACTTGTAGCTGTGGTTTTAGCATTGGATCTCATGTCACTTGTAGCTGTGGTTTTAACATTGGACTCTCATGTCACTTGTAGCTGTGGTTTTAGCGTTGGACTCTCATGTCACTTGTAGCTGTGGTTTTAACATTGGACTCTCATGTCACTTGTAGCTGTGGTTTTAACATTGGACTCTCATGTCACTTGTAGCTGTGGTTTTAACGTTAGACTCTCATGTCACTTGTAGCTGTGGTTTTAGCGTTGGACTCTCATGTCACTTGTAGCTGTGGTTTTAACATTGGATCTCATGTCACTTGTAGCTGTGGTTTTAGCGTTGGACTCTCATGTCACTTGTAGCTGTGGTTTTAGCGTTGGACTCTCATGTCACTTGTAGCTGTGGTTTTAACATTGGACTCTCATGTCACTTGTAGCTGTGGTTTTAGCATTGGATCTCATGTCACTTGTAGCTGTGGTTTTAACATTGGATCTCATGTCACTTGTAGCTGTGGTTTTAACATTGGATCTCATGTCACTTGTAGCTATGGTTTTAACATTGGATCTCATGTCACTTGTAGCTGTGGTTTTAACATTGGATCTCATGTCACTTGTAGCTGTGGTTTTAACATTGGATCTCATGTCACTTGTAGCTGTGGTTTTAACATTGGACTCTCATGTCACTTGTAGCTGTGGTTTTAGCATTGGACTCTCATGTCACTTGTAGCTGTGGTTTTAACATTGGACTCTCATGTCACTTGTAGCTATGGTTTTAGCATTGGATCTCATGTCACTTGTAGCTATGGTTTTAACATTGGATCTCATGTCACTTGTAGCTGTGGTTTTAACATTGGATCTCATGTCACTTGTAGCTGTGGTTTTAACATTGGACTCTCATGTCACTTGTAGCTGTGGTTTTAACATTGGATCTCATGTCACTTGTAGCTGTGGTTTTAGCATTGGACTCTCATGTCACTTGTAGCTATGGTTTTAACATTGGATCTCATGTCACTTGTAGCTATGGTTTTAACATTGGATCTCATGTCACTTGTAGCTGTGGTTTCATGCTCTCCTGTTTTATGTGTATTACATAATGATGAGGAAGATGGCGAAACAGTCGGTGGAGTGGTTTAAAAGAGGTCATTCACCAGGAGTCCTGGCGACTGTTGAGTCGGATTCCCGGAGTGTTCGGTATACTCCATAAAGGGCTTATTGGTTTGTTATGACTGCAGTAGTAGTTGTATTCTCTTCAGAATGTTAACGGACATTGTTGTATATCAGTTAGTGTGGGTAATTGTGTTTCGGTATGAGGTTGGATGTAATTGTGTTCCCATATTAAGGTGGATGTTATGTGGAGGCCCTGTGTGGGGTTGGACATTTTCACTGTAGTACTGGTATGTGTATCAGACATGACGGCGTGTAGTATGTTGTGCGAGGAAGTGGACATTATATTCCCTGCAACTGTTTCCCCATATATTTAACTCTGTTTGCCATGAAGCTGGGACTATGACGAATGACTGTACCTCTAACAAATATAAAGTTCAAGTACATTATTTTCCACTGAGTAATGAACAGCAATACTTGTTGTGGTATAGGACATTCAGGTAATCTGCAGTTTAATAAATTACTGACTGGCTGAAGACACAGCGTGAAGCCACATGGGAGGAAAGCTAGGGCTACACATTATTCAAGAAGGTCATTAATATTGTCATATTCCCACAACACTGCATGGCGTTGGGTCACCAGTTGCTGTTGGTTGTTTGATCGGCTCCCTCCACCTCTGTCGATCACTGGCAGTGAAATTGATCTTTGCCAGTTTCTTCTTCTTCGTTCACCGGCTATAAGCTCCAACGGAAGGTCCTGGTTGTTCTTCCTTTTGGACTTTGGCTTTGTGCCAGGGCCTGAGTTTTGCAAGACTGTGTTCTTGGTATTTGTATGTGTTATTGTTAGATGTAAGCTGTAAATACCCTGGCAGTGTCAGCATTGTTAATGAACTAACATGTTTTTTTCTTTTCTTTTTGCAGACGTATTTTATCGCGTACACTAGAGAGTTCCGCAGAGTACTGATCAACATTCGTGAGAAATGTCGAATGGGGGCAAAGGTTGACTCTGAAGATTGGTCAGATTTCCAGAACTCACTACGGATTGTTCAGACCTGTGGTAGGTCAAGTATAATATGTGTTTCTACTTCTGTTGCTACCCTAACTGATCACTGTGTCAGATAATTGTTATCAACATACTGAGAAAGTCTGCAGCAGTGACCAGAAGAGATATCATCTCCTAAGAGAATAAGTTGGCATAAAACCTATTCTGAGTTACATACAAAGACATCAAATCAACTGGTTTGCCCACTTAGAGAGAGAATGCCTTGTGATTCCCTACCATACAAAGTTAATTGCCTATCCTTTTACAGGACGTTGTAGAACCAGACCAAACATTTCTTGGCTGTTGTGGTTTTTCTAGACAATTTATAGGTTGAGTTGTTTGCCATTGCCCTACAAAGCATACACTGAAAGAGGAGAAGGGCATAGAGCATGAGGTAGACCAAGAATAACATGGAAAGATAGCATCAGAGAAATTACAACAGCACAGTGTGCGTGTGGTCGATGCAGCCAGAAGAACAAGAAGAATCTTTTGTCTCCCCCAACACCTGAAGCCATAAAAGCGGAAGTGAAGAAGAGGAAGAAAAATTCTGATCTTGTTTATTGTTGACCTGTCCTCCTCAGGAAACCTGTTGATACAGACAGAAGAACTGGATGCTCTGATAGCCAGCAGTATCCTACAGAGTCTGGGTCATCTCCTGACATGCCACTCACCTGTTAAAGAATCTGACAGTCTGTAAGTTGTCATCATCATCACTTCTTCCTCAGTGTTTCTCATCTACTGACATGGCACTCACCTGTTAAAGAATCTGACAGTCTGTAAGTTGTCATCATCATTATTATCATCCTCACTTCTCCCACAGTCTCTCTCATCTCCTGACATGCCACTCACTTGTTAAAGTCTGACACTCTGTAAGTTGCCATTGTCATTATCATCCTCTCTTCTCCCACAGTCTCTCTCCTGACATGCCACTCACTTGATAAACAGTCTGACGGTAAGTTGTCATCATCAAAACTTCTCCCACAGTCTATCTCACCTCCTGACATGCCACTCACTTGATAAACAGTCTGACGATAAGTTGTCATCATCAAAACTTCTCCCACAGTCTATCTCACCTCCTGACATGCCACTCACCTGTTAAAGAGATTGACAGTCTGTATATAATTGCCATCTTCATCATCGACATCATCATCATCAGTATCACTTCTCCCATAGTGGCTCTCATCTCCTGACATGCCCACTTATCATGACCATAATTGTAGCCACCTACCAAAGTGATGTCTGATTTTAAGAAACCATAGATTTGAACAAAAAAAAAGAAAATGAGGAACCATGGAAATTAGAAGTCTGAGAAGGGCTGCAGGAGTGACCAGAAGAGATACAACCAGGAATAAGGTCATAAGAGACAATATCGGCACAGAATCAGTTCTAAAGTACATACAAAGACAGCGCAGAATATGGTTAACTGACTTATAATGCCGTGTAACACCATGCCATAAAAGGTATACACAAGAAGAGAAGTACGTAGAGCAAAAAAGAAGATGGAAAGATAACATCAGAGAAACTACAATGACACAATGTATCTGTGGTCAGAGGTGGCCAGAAGAGCAAGAAACAGAACCTTAGATCTCCCTGGACATTTGAAGCGGTAAAAGAGAAAAGGAAGAAGAAGAAAATGATGAAAGTGAACAATTTGGTTAATTTGTCGGAAGACCGGATCAGCATACAGCCCCTGCCGGATCAGCATACAGCCCCTGCCGGATCAGCATACAGCCCTTGCCGGATCAGCATACATCCCTTGCCGGATCAGCATACAGCCCTTGCCGGATCAGCATACAGCCCTTGCACTCACATTTAGAGATCTCACCAGCATCAGGAAAATTAGTTGGATACTTGCCAACTGGGAAAGATACAGTAATTTTCCATGTGCTTTTGCAATCTGGCTCCCAGTTGAGCATATTCTTTTAACCAGCTCATACCAGGCCCTTTGTAAATGTGTTCATAATTGGTTGAATGTTGCAGCTAACATTTTCTTTGATATGAGGTATGCAGTCTCAAACCAATTCTTCTTCTTCTTATTATTATTATTAATATTATTATTCTCTTTCCTTTTCCTCCTCCTCCTTCTTCTTGGTCTTCATCTTCTGCTTTTTGACATTCACGGGATGTATACCCTGGCAGAAAGTTCTGGTTGTTCGTCCTTTTCTGCACTTTAGTCTTGTTCCAGAACTTACATTTTGCACCTGCGTCCACTCAACAGATTTATGGTTCCTCATGTACTGGCAGATGTGTTCAGACTTCAAAGGGAAACATCCCCTAATTATTTGCGTTTTATGACATGCTTGTTACAGGGCTAATGGGTCGGTCCTTTCCCCTCGAAACGGGGCCCTGGAACCCACATGGGGAAAACCTGATTCATCTCTAAAGACGTGCTGTTTTCAGCATGACTGGTCTTTGCTTCTCTAAGGGTCCCTGTCTATTTTACATATTGTTTTGTTATCACATTCTGTGTCACTGCACATTGGGCATTCCCATGCATGCCCAATCATTCTTTGAAGCCGCTTGCCCAGAGTACCTTTACAGGCTGTTCACATGAGAAGTTGGTTATACTGTCTCCTGTCTTGACCTTGAAGAAGTCACAGATGTGCCTCCCAAGGCTCCATCCACTCACTCCCAGCATCAGAGATTCATCAGTACCCACCAGCCTGTTCAGTTTGTTGAACTAGTCCATACAGTATTGATGATATCAGCTCTGCCCATGCTTCTTCCTGCATGACGTAGTGCACTGTTTGCCACTTATTAGTCTACTTGTTGTTGATTACCCATTACTTCAACATGCCCAGGTGTGTAAATCCAGGTGCTGCAGATTCTTCTTCTTGATGTTCACCGGCTGTAAACTCCAGTGGAAAGTTCTGGTTGTTCTTACATGTCTGGACCTCTGTCTTGTTCCAAAAACTTAGAGTTTTAGGTGAGCATCCGCTGTATAGATTTGGCTTATTTGTAACCAGACTGTTGGTTTCTCACCTCTCAGGCAGATGCTGTCCATCTATAAGCGAAACATCCCTAATTAGTTGCGTTTTACGACATGCTTGTTAGCGCGGCAGTGTGTCTGATCCTGCTTTCCCCCCACATAGGGCCGCCACAGAACTCTCAAGCCCAGCTTGTGGTGATTGGGTTATTTCACCTGGTAAAGTTTCTGCTCCAACAGTATATCATCAGCTTGATACTCCTTCAAGTTCTCAGTGATTGGGTTATTTCACCTGGTAAATGTTTCTGCTCCAACAGTATATCATCAGCTTGATACTCCTTCACGTTCTCAGTGTTTGGGTTATTTCACCTGGTAAATGTTTCTGCTCCAACAGTATATCATCAGCTTGCCACTCCTTCAAGTTCTCAGTGATTGAGTTGTTTCACCTGGTAAATGTTTCTGCTCCAACAGTATATCATCAGCTTGCCACTCCTTCAAGTTCTCAGTGATTGGATTATTTCACCGGGTAAAGTTTCTGCTCCAACAGTATATCATCAGCTTGCCACTCCTTCAAGTTCTCAGTGATTGAGTTGTTTCACCTGGTAAATGTTTCTGCTCCAACAGTATATCATCAGCTTGCCACTCCTTCAAGTTCTCAGTGATTGAGTTGTTTCGCCTGGTAAATGTTTCTGCTCCAACAGTATATCATCAGCTTGCCACTCCTTCAAGTTCTCAGTGATTGAGTTGTTTCACCTGGTAAATGTTTCTGCTCCAACAGTATATCATCAGCTTGCCGCTCCTTCAAGTTCTCAGTGATTGAGTTGTTTCGCCTGGTAAATGTTTCTGCTCCAACAGTATATCATCAGCTTGCCACTCCTTCAAGTTCTCAGTGATTGAGTTGTTTCACCTGGTAAATGTTTCTGCTCCAACAGTATATCATCAGCTTGCCGCTCCTTCAAGTTCTCAGTGATTGAGTTGTTTCACCTGGTAAATGTTTCTGCTCCAACAGTATATCATCAGCTTGCCGCTCCTTCAAGTTCTCAGTGATTGAGTTGTTTCACCTGGTAAATGTTTCTGCTCCAACAGTATATCATCAGCTTGCCACTCCTTCAAGTACTCAGTGATTGAGTTGTTTCACCTGGTAAATGTTTCTGCTCCAACAGTATATCATCAGCTTGCCACTCCTTCAAGTTCTCAGTGATTGAGTTGTTTCACCTGGTAAATGTTTCTGCTCCAACAGTATATCATCAGCTTGCCACTCCTTCAAGTTCTCAGTGATTGAGTTGTTTCACCTGGTAAATGTTTCTGCTCCAACAGTATAACATCAGCTTGCCACTCCTTCAAGTTCTCAGTGATTGAGTTGTTTCACCTGGTAAATGTTTCTGCTCCAACAGTATATCATCAGCTTGCCGCTCCTTCAAGTTCTCAGTGATTGGGTTATTTCACCTGGTAAATGTTTCTGCTCCAACAGTATATCATCAGCTTGCCACTCCTTTAAGTTCTCAGTGATTGAGTTGTTTCACCTGGTAAATGTTTCTGCTCCAACAGTATAACATCAGCTTGCCACTCCTTCAAGTTCTCAGTGATTGAGTTGTTTCACCTGGTAAATGTTTCTGCTCCAACAGTATAACATCAGCTTGCCGCTCCTTCAAGTTCTCAGTGATTGAGTTGTTTCACCTGGTAAATGTTTCTGCTCCAACAGTATAACATCAGCTTGCCGCTCCTTCAAGTTCTCAGTGATTGGGTTATTTTACCTGGTAAATGTTTCTGCTCCAACAGTATATCATCAGCTTGCCACTCCTTCAAGTTCTCAGCCTCTTTGTTCCTGCCCACCTACTCTGATGTAGAGGCCTTGGAGACGATGGTCAAGAAGCTAGAGGATGGTATGTAACTGTTTTGTTGAACCTTTGAGTTACCAGTATCCTAACTAAAGTGTCCATGTTTTTTCTCCCTGTCTATTGACATTTGAACTATATGTTTCCTAAAAGTGTCAATTTGTGTGTATGGGTCTCCTTGACATTAATGAATTTTTTGTCTCCCATTTCCATTCACTGTAGCTATATGTAGGTGAATAAAAGATGATGTCATTGGATAAGACGCATATTGAAGTAAAAAAACAACATGAGAACAGTGTAACTAGAATGTATTTGCAATGGAATCCACACAAGCATAGAAATAAAGGCAGAAAAAAAAAAAACACATGGAGAAGGGAGCTACACCTCAACTTAAAAAATATGGAGGAGAGCCTAGTTTGAGATGCATTTCGTGACAAAGGATAGGAACTGTGTGTTAGGATCATGTCTACTTTCACTGCCCAAAACATTTTCTGGTCACCATTTTGGGCTTGGTCACTCTGGAGTTTCTGTCCCCCTCCTTAAAACCTCCCCCCCCCCCCCCCCCCATCAACCCTTCTCTCTCTCTCTCTCTCAATCCATCTCTCTCCCTCCCTCCCCCTCTCTCCATCTCTATCTCTCTCTCCCTCTCTCTCTCTCTCTCTCTCTCTCTCTCTCTCTCTCTCTCTCTGTCTCTCTCTCTCCTTCTGTTGCTTTCCATTCATTCCCTTCTTCCAGCTCTCCATGTCTCTTTTGTCTCCTGTTTCTCAGCCTTGTTTTTCCCTCTATCTCTATCCTCTCCCCTTTGTCCCCTTCTTTCTATATATTTTCCTCTGCTTTGTTTCTTTTCTCGGCTCTCCCCTTATGTCTGTCTATCTTCTGCTTTGTTTCTTGTCTCTGCTCTCCCTTTATGTCTGTCTCTCTTTCCCTCCCATTTTGTCTCTCTCCCACCTATCCTCCCCACACTATTTTTCTTCATCTTCTGCCTCGAAGTCTATCTGAACTTTGGTTGGAGTTCTTCTTAAACGCCTGGTGTAGAATGTGATTGAAGATGTGTGATGCCATATTGTCTCCCCCAGGTGAAAGCCCACCTGTGTTCGCAGAGATCAAGTCTGACCTCAGTAAACTCAGCAGTGAAGTCCACAAGTTTGCCTTTGAGATTGTGTTTGGTCAGCTCAAGTCTTACCTCAGTGGAGTGTCTACCATGGAGGTGAGTGTTTGGTCAAATCCAGTTTGGTCAACTCAAGACTTACCTCAGTGGAGTGTCTACCATGGAGGTGAGTGTTTGGTTAACTGAAGACTTACCTCAGTGGAGTGTCTACCATGGAGGTGAGTGTTTGGTTAACTGAAGACTTACCTCAGTGGAGTGTCTACCATGGAGGTGAGTGGTTAACTGAACACTTACCTCAGCGGAGTGTCTACCATGGAGGTGAGTGGTTAACTGAACACTTACCTCAGTGGAGTGTCTACCATGGAGGTGAGTGTTTGGTTAACTGAAGACTTACCTCAGCGGAGTGTCTACCATGGAGGTGAGTGGTTAACTGAACACTTACCTCAGTGGAGTGTCTACCATGGAGGTGAGTGTTTGGTTAACTGAACACTTACCTCAGTGGAGTGTCTACCATGGAGGTGAGTGGTTAACTGAACACTTACCTCAGCGGAGTGTCTACCATGGAGGTGAGTGTTTGGTTAACTGAACACTTACCTCAGTGGAGTGTCTACCATGGAGGTGAGTGGTTAACTGAACACTTACCTCAGCGGAGTGTCTACCATGGAGGTGAGTGGTTAACTGAACACTTACCTCAGCGGAGTGTCTACCATGGAGGTGAGTGGTTAACTGAACACTTACCTCAGTGGAGTGTCTACCATGGAGGTGAGTGTTTGGTTAACTGAAGACTTACCTCAGTGGAGTGTCTACCATGGAGGTGAGTGTTTGGTTAACTGAAGACTTACCTCAGTGGAGTGTCTACCATGGAGGTGAGTGTTTGGTCAAATCCAGTTTGATCAACCTCAGTGGAGTGTCTACCATGGAGGTGAGTGTTTGGTCAAATCCAGTTTGGTCAACTCAAGACTTACCTCAGTGGAGTGTCTACCATGGAGGTGAGTGTTTGGTTAACTGAACACTTACCTCAGTGGAGTGTCTACCATGGAGGTGAGTGTTTGGTCAAATCCAGTTTGGTCAACTCAAGACTTACCTCAGTGGAGTGTCTACCATGGAGGTGAGTGTTTGGTTAACTGAACACTTACCTCAGTGGAGTGTCTACCATGGAGGTGAGTGGTTAACTGAACACTTACCTCAGTGGAGTGTCTACCATGGAGGTGAGTGGTTTACTGAAGACTTACCTCAATGGAGTGTCTACCATGGAGGTGAGTGTTTGGTTAACTGAACACTTACCTCAGTGGAGTGTCTACCATGGAGGTGAGTGGTTAACTGAACACTTACCTCAGCGGAGTGTCTACCATGGAGGTGAGTGTTTGGTTAACTGAACACTTACCTCAGTGGAGTGTCTACCATGGAGGTGAGTGGTTAACTGAACACTTACCTCAGTGGAGTGTCTACCATGGAGGTGAGTGGTTAACTGAACACTTACCTCAGTGGAGTGTCTACCATGGAGGTGAGAGTTTGGTTAACTGAAGACTTACCTCAGTGGAGTGTCTACCATGGAGGTGAATGTTTGGTCAAATCCAGTTTGATCAACCTCAGTGGAGTGTCTACCATGGAGGTGAGTGTTTGGTCAAATCCTGTTTGGTCAACTGCAGACTTACCTCTGTGTAGTGTCTACCATGGAGGTGAGTGTTTGGTCAAATCTAGTTTGATCAACCTCAGTGGAGTGTCTACCATGGAGGTGAGTGTTTGGTCAAATCCAGTCTGATCAACCTCAGTGGAGTGTCTACCATGGAGGTGAGTGTTTGGTCAAATCCAGTTTGGTCAACTGAAGACTTACCTTTCTGGAGTGTCTATGGTGGCCAAACAAAGTTTACATTATTGTTTGTAATTCCATCATAAAGAGTGAAGTCATCAAGCCATTCGCCTTACACTCTGGAGATCATAGGTTTTGTTTCACTGCAGCACCACTTGATTTATGAGCACATATTTTACAGAGAACCTTGGAGGGGGGTTGTCACTGGAGCTACAGAGTTTATCCTCTGCGCTATGCTCTGTCATCCTGTTTGTGGAGAGATACGAAGCTATGGACTAGAAATAATAATATTACAGACTATACATCCGCCATGTCTTCTTCTTCTTTGCTTTCACTGGCTATAAATTCCTGCGGAAAGTTCTGGTTGTTCGTCCACTTCTGGACTGCAGTCCTGTTTCAGAACCTGAGTGTTGCTTGTGCATCCGTTTGACAGATCTGACTCATGTGTGTGCAGACTGTTCGTTCCTTTCCTCTCAGGCTGATGCACTCTGACTTCGAAGGAAGCTGCCAATTAGTCGACTCTGATGACATGCTTTTGGGGTAGGCAGTGGGTCTATTCTTGTTTTCCCTATAACAGGGCCCTTGAGCCCACACAGGGATTCTGCCATACAAGCGATGTTTATATTGTTATCTGTACCTAAAATGTTCAATAGAAGTTAACAATCCAGAAATGAAACACAACACAAAAGGTAAACAAGAAACAACAATAAAAGCCAGCAAAAGACTTAACACAGTAATAATGAGAACATGACTTTTATCTGCCCTCACAGTTTCCAAATTTCATTGTATAGAGATTAGAACTATTAAAGGCATCATTCTTTTGTTTCTTTCTAGATCTGGACATCACAGAGTTCTGGTGGTGCCATGACCTCTGACCTGCCCACCTTTAGCCTCTCACCCCAGGAGTACATTACAAAGGTAATCATATGAAACATAAAAAGGGATCCTTTTCCATGCCTTCAAGCGTATGGGGCATATAGGGCTAGACCTGAATTGTATAGACCCATTGGCATTTGGTGGGGGGTGTGGTCAGCGTCGCACCTCCTGCCTCTGGTTCTCGGGGTTTTACCTAGTACCTATTTAAGGCTGGGTCGACCTGGGAGCTAAGGTAATTTTCGAAGAAAATCCACGACTATTTGGAGATGAACCCACGATTTTCGGATCGCCACGCAAGCGTTGAGCTGCTACAAGATGGCGGCAGCCAGTAAAATACGTACATTTCTGGAGGGAAAAGTCTTCCATGAAGTAAGGGGAAGCTGGTTCAGACAAGATGGATGTCCAGGCTACACATAAGTTGTTGGTGTTGTCATCTATAGAACAAGTTAGTTTATTGATAAAGGGGAACTGGAGGCTATCTCAGGCCAAGGGACACCATAACCTGGCAGCCCCCTGAGCTTTCCTGGAAACACTGTAGGGGGTGCCAGCCCCTCATGGGAAATCAGTCAGAAGACTCAGGTGACCCCCCACTCCCGACAACCACCATGTGTAGGAGCCCTCCTTTTAAGTATTTGTTTAATACATTTCATATTATTTCAAACATGTAATTATGTTTATTTGCCATTCAGCTGTTATTGTTATCAGCATTATTATTAGTATGCACTTAAACAAAGCTTAGGCTACCTGAGCCTTCACAACTGACAGTATACACCCACAGAGGGACAGAGAGGTATATTGGACTGAGAGATTAGAGATCGAGAGAAGAAAGAGAAATGTCAGGAAGCTCTACACTGCAGGGTAGAAGAGTAAAGACTAAACAAGACTATTTTATTTTCTACATAACATTTATAATGGACTGAGGGACCTTTTACCAACGCTTTTCTATTGTCTTTGTGATGAGACGCAATCTCTGTAGAGATCAAAGTGACCTCATGCAGTACCACTGATGCCTTGAAATATTTCCCAGTAATATCTGACATTGCACAAAGAAGAAAAAGATCGGTTCATAACGTTCCCTGTGTGGGTTCTGGGACTTCCCTTGTGAGGGAAAACATGAACAGACCTGCCTCCCAAACAAGCTGGTCATTGAGAATTTCTTCACAGTCGGAGGGCATCTGCCTGGGAGGCAAGGCACCAACAGTCTGCATAGAGAAAGTCTGGTCTGTAAAGCAAATGTGCACGCAACACTCAGGTTCTGGACGAAGACTAAAGTCAAGAGGTGAATAAACAACCAGAACTTTCAGCTGGAGTTCACAGCCGGTGAATGCAAAAAAAAAGTTCATAACATAGTGCCTGTGGTACTTTAGCAAGACTTTTTTTTTTCCACTGCTTTTTTTTTAGCAAGTATGTTTTTACAAAAATGCAACCCATTGACTGATATCCATTGTGCAGGTTGGACAGTATCTGATGACCCTACCGCAGCATCTAGACCCATTTACTCTACAGGACAGTCCAGCTCTGGTCGTGGCACTCAAACATGGCCGGCTACCCTACACCAACCATCAGGGTATTCACTCTTCCTTTTTTATCCTCTGGTTATCCTGCAATCGCAGACCGCTTTGCATTGATTTCAACAATGGTTTCAAGAGCTGACAGTTGAGAAAGCAGAGGCAAACAACTCAGCATAAAATCCGAGAAGGATCAAATGCCTGCAGAAGTTGGATGTGTCAGTCGAAAGGTGTAGATATTGCAGCCATGTTGTGAACTGGCACAATGCATTTACATCTTTGGATGAACGCAGCAACAGAAGAAGAAGAAGAGGAACATGAATGTAAAATTACTTAGTAAAACCAAACAGTAAACAGAATGCTGGTGTTGGTTGTGCAATATATACCCAACTTTTTAGTTTTATTTTTTAAATCCTGTGTTTACACATTTCCTGCCATCTTATATATGTATGTGTGGGTGCGCGCACACAATTTTTCATGTCCTTATTGCATGCATGCTGCCTGTCTGGGTTCCGGGATCCCATCTTTTGGGGATGGGGGAGAGTAGATGCCACAGAGGGGCAGGGCAGTTAATCCTTTCTGTCTGTAAAAAAAAAATTATCTTTTTTCATCAGAGTTTTTTATCAAAGAATTACATTATCATGATTCTATGAAACTGTGCCAAAAGCAACTTGAAGAAGAAAAGAAGAAGCAGAAGAAATGTGCAGTCCCAGTCAGTTTTTATAAAAATCTTGGGGGTTTGTAAATATAATTATACCTATCACATCTGCAGACTGTGTAGCTGCAACCAGTACCAAAGCTGTTATATTGGCACATTATCCACTGCCCAAAGACTTCATGTTATTAGAAAGTTGGAAAACCAACTTTCTCATGATGACATGGATCGGTGAAACTAGGGATAACTATGTATCTGCAGCCTTATGAATAGGCTGTAAGAACATCAGGTCCTAATAATGAACAGATTTCTTTTCAAATGGGTCACAAATTGGGCACACAGATTTGCAAGTGTCTTATAGTTAACCTCCAGCATGTTGACCATATAACCCACAGAGTACCGATTGTTCTATACAATATAGGCCTGCCCATCCCCGTATGCCTGCAGGCAGGGAAGAAGGTACTTTACTGACTTGCTTTACTGATAGTTAATCTGCTTCCTTGTCAGGTCACAAAATTAAACAAACAAACAAACAAAGTTAGCCGTGATCAGTATTTTTTTTTTTTTTGCTTCAGAAGTGTCAGAGCACCTGGCAGACTTATGGTTGGAGTCAGTTGCCATGGGAACCATGCATACATATACGGAGGAGATCCTGAAGATTCCCTCTCTGACACCCCACGGATGTAAACAGCTGATTACAGACATAGGTAACGTATGTTTTTATTTTAGGGTGTTTGTGTTTGTATGTTTGTCACTAAATTTTCTGTTTATAATTATTTTGTGATCTTCTTCTAGTTGTTCTGCTTCTAGTAGCATTACATCTGCTTGGGAGGCATGGAACCAGCAGCCTGTAAATAAATAAGTCTGAACTGGAAAATGTATGTTCATGCACAACCTAAGTTCTGGAATATACTGAACTCCAGAAGTGGACGAACAGCCAGGACTTTCATGTTTTCTGCTGAGTTCACAGCCGGCCAATGCTGAGAAGAAGAAGCTTCCAGTAGTGAGCCAAAGATAATGAATGAGATAGAAAGAAGCATGGACAGAGTTGTTGGCCTGGCCTAAAATTGCTACCAGGTTGTACACTAGGATGTAAAGATTGATCTTTTTTACTTTTCCATGGTTTTTTTTATTCAAGAATGTCTTCGCACTGAAACCCACAGGGGCATAGAAATACAAAAAATAAAAAAAGACCCAAAAAACACGGGGAAAAGAGAGCTAGTGTGTGAAGTTAAACAGATAAGGAGGGCTCGAGGAGAGCTGCCACAGTAAAAGATAGAACTACTTGGTGTGAGTTGGTTGGGGGCCTATGCTCCATTGGGGGTTAGAAAGGCAGAAGAAGAAGAAAAGAGATTGATCAAATGACCCATTGATCAAATGACCCATTGATCAAATGACCCTGCAAATGCTAGTTAGTCTATAAAAAAAATAGCTCTAGCACTTTGTGCCTGATGGTCCAAATGCGGACCAGGGTCCTCTTTCTTTAAAAAAAATTTGTATTATCCCTTTCTCAACCTACTTGCCCTTTGTGCTCACAACAGATTACCTGTGTAACGTGTTGGAAGACTTGGGCCTGAAAGCATCGGAGACCTTGACGCACATACACATCCTGCTTCAGGCCAAGCCGGACCAGTTCTCAGACACGGCCGAGCTGTTGCCGCAGCGAGTGTCGCACACCGTCGGCAACATGAGGAACATACCACTGTAGACTGTACAAGATTGTAGCAAGTGTGACCTATGAAAAAAAGAGGGGGTATAATTTATGTGTAAATAATGAAGAAATTGTAACTTTAAATATTCAACTGTAATTTGTAAGTAGTATTGTTGACTGTGGCTAAACAACAAGAGCAACAAAACAAGCTGATATAAACTACTGGGTGTTGTGTTGTGAACCAACAGTTACACTTACTGTCAGATATGTTCACTGTATCCTTGCTGTGAGAGCAGGTGTGAAGATGTCACAGGATATCTCTTCACTTGAAAGGCAAAATTAATAAAGAAAACTTCTGTTTTTCTATTTGCCTCTTTCTCTGTATCTTTCTCATGTCTTTCTTGTCCATCACCTCATGTCTCATCACCTTCTCTGGCTTCTGTGTCTTTCTCTGTCTGTCCTCTCTTTCTCTTCCATATCTCCTCTCTTTCTCTCATCTTCTCTCTCTCTCTCTTTCTCTCTCTGTGTGCCTGCGCGCGTATGCATGCGCGCATGTGGGGGGGGGGGGGGGGGGGTGTGAATATACTGTCAATATCTAAGGGAATATCTGTGATAGAATAGAAGCACCTGTGACTGCCATGACCTGGGTTTGAGCTGTCTGACTTTGATTGAGTGAGTACAGATTGTTTCTGTGTTTATTGTTGCTAAAATGGTAACAGAAGGGTAGAAGATGGAAGATTGAACAAGGCTAAGAGACTACTCTCCCTGTTTTGGAGGATTGGGGATGGTAGAGTCTCTAAGGACATCCTGGGTAGCAGATGTCAGGGCCAGCCTCTGCTGCAGTTTAAAGATGCATGCAAGCAGGACATAAAGGATACAGGTGTTGAGGTAGATTGATGGAAACAGGACGCCATTGACCGTGATGAATGGAGGGTAAAAAATGTTGAATTAAGAATCGACATCACGGCACTCAGGACATTCCCATAGATGCTCTGTCCCCATCTTCATCAGCAATTGAAGAGTCCCAATTCCGCTGGCACCAGTAACAGTCTGATTGTATATCCGTCTAGCCTTTCCCTTGAGCATTGGCCAGATTCACTCCTTGTAGAACCATTCTCCTCAGACCATGAAGATCTGTTTGCGCCTCCGCACTGTTCACTCGCTCCCAAAGGACCCTAACAACATCAAGCTTGTCGTACATCAGTTCAACACCAAGTGATGCAGAACCAGCCAGTCCATCTATCTCTTCATTTCCCAACACACCGGCATCGGGTGGAGGAAATATCCAAAGGATGCCAAAAAAAAGGGGGAAAAGTTAGGAAGGGAAGAGGGATAAAGGAGAATATGTAGAACATGTTTGCATATAAAGAGCTGTGCATCTGAGAGGAAGAAGATTAAACACATGCCATGGTAACAATGGTTCTGACATTCCATGCTGAGACTGCAGTAGTCTTTTCTTAACCAAAGCAGGTCTTGCTAGTCACACTGTCACCTTCGCCATAGGCTGTGATTCCCAGGCGGGCCTATAGAACAGTATAAAACCATTGACTGTATAGATTGAAAGGAGCCAACAACAAGATACTTGCAAGCCCTAGAAACCTCTACAGTGCATCTACACCCCAAAATAGAAATGGAAGAATTTAACAAGATTATAAAATACCTCGGAGATGCGGCTGGCCAGCTGGTTAAGAACACAGGGTTCTCGTGCACAAGATCCAGGTTCAAATGCTTGGTAAGGTTAGGAATTTTTTTTTTCTGACGGAGGAAAAAATAAAATCTTCACCTACACAGTCTATGGCGACAGCACTAGCCATGCACCCTTAAATCCTCCGGCTCAAAGACCCCTCTGACTGCACCACAAACGAGGTCAATAAGGTATCAATGGCATATTTTTTTTTTAGCTAGTAAAGTAGCTCTACACCTCCGGCTAGAAAAGGAAAGTGTGTGTATTAATTTTTTCATTGTACATTTGCAGAATATTTTTAACTTTACTGAGATATTGTTGGAAATAAAAGAGGGTTATTTTAATCTTTGATTTCTTCTGTGTCTGTTTGTCACATGGCGATGTTTGGTGTTTTCTTTTGCATCACAAGAACGAATGACCCACAGTGGCTAAACATTTGCCTGCTGGCCAGAAGTTTTGGGTTTAAATCCTCATCTGAGCATATTTTAATACTCACCTTAGGCTCAGATTTTTGAATTTTTGACTATCAAAGATGCAAACAATGGAGAATGGAGCGTGAGAAACAACAATAAAATTCATAATCTGTTCAAATTACCACTGATCAAAGGCATCATGAGGACTGAAATGGCTGGGGCATTTACAGGGAATGACAGATGACAGAGGTTTATTTTCTGAACCAAAAGCACTTGAAGCAAAGCTCTTTGGCTCAGTGTCATGATCATTGAAGTCCTTCAGCCTCGGTGCCACGTATGCTGCTTTTCTGAAGTCCCCTGGCTCGAACCTGAGATCTGACATGCATGGGTATTGTCACCCGACATCAAAAGGATATCAGCTACGCTGGAGCACTGTGCTAAGGTAACAGAGGTAAACACTGCACACACACAAAAGTTGAATACCAGTAGATCAGAAAGCAGATCAAGAAGATGATGGAGAAATCATATCCAGTCACGGAGATGAATGGAGCCGGTGATATCTGCAGTAGTGAAACTCAAGGGCACTTATGGGTTACACCCGTGAAACTCAAGGGCACTTATGGGTTACACCCGTGAACCATAATGTTGATCCATCAACTAAACTAGTTTTGAGTTGCACCTGTTGTTCATTAATAGCATCTTCCCCGTGTGGGTTCCGGGGCCCTACTATGGGAAAAACAAGAATAGACCCACTGCCTACCCAAAAGCATGTCGTAAGAGTTGACTAATTGGGAGCTTCCTTCGAAGTCGGAGTGCATCTGCCTGAGAAGGAACCAGCAGTCTGCATACAGATTTGTCTAATGGATGCACATGCAACACTCAGGTTCTGGAACAGGACTGCAGTCCAGAAGTGGACGAACAACCAGAACTTTCCACTGGAATTTATAGCCAGTGAACGAGGAGAGGAAAGAAGAAGATCATAATACACCTGAAAGTATCTAATTCTCTAGCAATTCTCCTGCCGTGTGTGCTTTCATAGCCATAGCATCTTCAGTAACTTGTATCCATCTTTGTAGAAGTCTGTCACTGCTTTGTATTCCGGAAACTTCCCTCTGCCACCATTGTCTCCAGGTCACCATAACTTTTAATATTGTCAAAATATTCAGTGTTTGAGACAGGATGATGTTTATTGTGTAGGATGTTAGTGTCTTCTTCTTGATCAATAGTGTTCTTAGAACTTTTCTGTAGGGTTTCAGTTCAGAGCTCAAATTGTTGTCTTAAAGGATTTTGTTTGAGTCCATGACACACATCCCTAAGTTGATAAGGGAAAGATGCATGATCTCACAATGTGTGCTGTAACTGGCTTGCACATGCTGTCCATAGGTACAACTGCTGAGCAATGGTTAATGCTTGAAACATGCACACAGGTCTTGTTGTTGCCATTCTCTTCTTTCTTTTGTGTTCACCCTGAAGAAGGGCTGCACTGGCTGCTGCAGATAAAGACAGAGCACTTATTTGAATTCCCAGAGTGCTGTGATGTCGGTTCATAACTACAGCCACGCTGCAAAATGCACCTATCTGCCCAACACATCCGAGGGGGGGGGGCGACCTCAACCCCCCCCCCCTCAACATTTTTGCCTATAAAGTGTTTGTTCGGGGGGGGGGGGGTGGCGAGTTGAAGGTGGAGCTCCCATCCCCTGTTTTTTCATGGCGGCGCACTAGTCTGACCCCATGAAAAGGTCTGCTATGTCAACATTTGGGCACGCAACCGAATCATCTCCGAAATGTTGATATGAACTAGAAGGATAAAGGACTATTCACTTTTATATCTTAATGCCCATCAAGGTGGATTTATCCAACTCGCTAGGGCTGGCAGATAAACCCAGTCTATGAGTGGTCACCAGAAAACGTTAGGGGAAGAAGGTATGATTAGTATGGCCTTGACCACATCACCTAACGAGTGCAGTATGGAGCTAGCACCAGCCCTGGCATCCATTTTTCCCAGTGATGCTTCAGGGGCTGAGCCTGTAGAAAATGTCTACGGAATGAGAAAGGGGGGAGGGGGGGCAAAGTGATCAAACTAACCATGTACTGTTGTTCTCTATTTTAATAATTCCATTTTATGGTACATGTATTTATAGGTATTGAGAGAATATCGTCAGATGACAGAGAGGTAAAGACTGCTTACACAACGGAGATAAATGACTTGACTTGACTTTCTACCCCACTAGGACATCACACAAGCGATAAACACCCGATGACACAAAGTGCCACCATGCGGATGAGGATCGCCGTGGAGAGGTCCCAGAAACCGCGTTCAGGCACTTGGCCATATTTATGGCCTGCCTATATTGCGGCCCCTGGCAAAAGCCAGGGTGGGGCTTCAAATAACAAAAAAATTCGCCCTAAAAAGGACGAAACTGGATGATAAGGAGATAAATGGTTATAGACCACGAGGCAGACCAAGAAGAAGATAAAGAAATAATGTCCAGAGAGATCTGCAAACAGATGGTGTCACCAACTGGAAAGAGAAGGTCAACCAGAGAGACGAATGGAGGGAGGTGATATCTGCAGCAATGAACTTCAAGGGCTCGCAATGCTGAAGAAGAAGTATTTCCAATATATTATTACATTTATGTAAGCACCCTAAATGTGTACGGTGACAACAACAGTCCTGAAATCCCATACTCTAACGGTGGTCGCCCTTTATTAATGCGGGCGGGTCTTGCTAGTCACTTTCACCATCGCCTGTGATGTCGTTGCCTCGCTAGCACAGTATATCGCACTATCATCAGGAAAGTCGCAAAGGTACCAACCAACTACAATATGTATTTCTTCGCAGCACATACTAATAATTGTTGTTATTATTGTTCTCTTAAACAAGGCTCCTATAAAGTTATTAAAAAAAAGGGGGGGGGGCGCTTGAGTGCGCCCAACCTAAGATTTCTTGGTGGTAGTAC